TATGAGTGGGGTGAGCTGAACCCAAGGCTGTGAGCTCTCCTTGCTGTCTGCTACATTGGGTGAACTAACTGGGGCAGTGTACGGCAGCATCATCACTGGATTATGACAGAAAGCTTGCTGGCTGACGAACCAAGCTACCACTCAGGCCCAGAACCAGGCCTATGAGTTAGCCCACCCCAACACCCATCTCATCTATGAACTGCTGGAGCTTGTGAAGGGGCTGGACCTACAGACTCAAAGCTTCAGCATCTCCATGACATAAGGCAACAATAGGATATCCAAGAGTCCCAGTGAGGGCCCACTATCGAGGGTGTGGCAGAAGGCAGAGGCCTTGAACCAGACCAATGACTCACTGCAATGACACAGTAAAGATGTGTGGACTAAAGGGTATACTGTGTGACTCACTGGGCTACACTACAGCTTCCACATTGAGATTTTGGGTTGTTTGTTTGTTTTAGTGGTTTTACTCTTAAATTTTGTTCTGCGAGGGTGGGGGGAGGTTGCAAGAACAGAGGGTGGAAGCAAGGGAATAGGGAGAGATGAGTGGTATCAGGATGTATGATGTGAGATCCACAAAGAATCAATAAAAAGTTAAAAAGCAAAAACACTCTGGCCTGTGGAATGGTGCTTCCCACTTATCTCAGTTAACCTAGTCTGCAAACTCCCTCACAAATGTGCCCAGAGGTTTGCTTCTGTGGTGATCCCATCCAGTTGACAGTGGAGATTGACCATCACAGCATCTTAGCATTATATTACATATTGACTCTTTTGCTGAGTTGGAGACATCATACCAAGGGACCTTTCTGGTTGAACTCTTGCCATTTGTGTTAAGTGATGCTTTCAACAGTGCGAGGGCTCCTTTTCCGTGACTAAATTGCCTGGTGTAGATAACTGAAGGGGGGAGCCATTTCTTTCGGCTCCCAGTGTTAGAGGGTACAGTCAGCCCACAATGTCCTTGGCTCAGAAGCCTGAGCAGAAACATCATGGTGGAAGAGAAATGTTCTGTCCACGGCAGACCAGGAGGGGGGGATGCCAGTGCTCACTTGACTTTTCCTTTTCCTCCTTTAACTTCATCCGGCCCCCAGGAAGTGGCTTGGCACATCCCACATTTGTGTGTGTCTCCAAGGTATATAGTTCCTTGTGTGCTTCAAGAAGTCAGGTCTGGCAGGTGTACTCAGCCCTCAGCAAATCCTTAGGTGTAGCCTGTCACCCTGAAGATGCTGCTTCCTGCTTTCTATACATAAAGCAAGAAGATGCCCAGGCAATGGGATGTAAACGTGGAAGTGAGGGAGGTGGAAGAGCAGCAATAAAATGATAGCTGGAGGCGGCAAGAGCCTTAGAGACCACAGCACAGTGCAGCTCACATCCAGGGTCGAAGTTTGCAGCCAAGAGTATGTGTGCTGTTTACATATCTAGACAGACACACGTGTGCACAAAGACAGACACACACACACACACTGGTTTTCTACATTCCAAGAAGCTCACAGCCTGTGATGTGCACCTTACTCGCTGCCTGAAAAGCAGTCCCACCCCTCCAGGAGAGTGTCAACATTTGCAATAATGCCTCGCATGTAGTGAAGATTTGAGGAGCGTCCCAGTGGAACTTGAGGCACCAGCCTTGATTCTCAGGCTGGAAGATCAGGAGGGCCCTACCCAGAACCCAGTTGAAGGGATTTTGCACCTCTCAGATGAGGGACTTCTTGTAGTTGACAATCAGGCAAATTGGATGTGGTCAGTAAACATTTCTTGAATGAATAGGTGGTTGGACTAGATTGGTGTTTCCCATGGGAATAGTGAGAGGTGGTTATAGGTAGGACACAGACATTTTACATCTTAGTGAGTGTTTATTACAGTGTGTGTTAGAAGAAAATACAAGGGAGCAGTTAACTGTGAAAAACAAAAGTGAGTCACTTAAAGACCTCCTGCACTGAGCAGGCAGTGGATGAGTATTTGGAAATTAAAGCAGGAGTGAATTAAATAAAGGCTGGGCCAGTGTTCAGTGTCTTTCCAAGTCGGGGAGCTCTATCTCTTTGGATATAGGCACTGAAAAGAAAGTTGGGTCTACTGTTCTAGGGTTTTTTTTGTGTGGGGGGGTGGGAAGCACAGTGGAACTGGCAAGTAGAGTTGGTGCTTAGCATCGTGGGCTGTGCAGATCAGCTGCTGCTGATAACGTTGTAAGCCTTTGGTATCTATGGGGCAGTCCTGGGTACCTGGGTCAGTTAGTTCTTAACAAGATTGGGACATCCTGCTTGTGGAGTTTTCATAGCCGGTGTTCCTGTGGAAAACTCTTTGTTCCCATTCTTGGTTATTTTCTGAGGATCAAGCCCTGGAGTGGGATTGTGGGCTCATGTGTGCATGTGTTCTGTGATACAGCGCCTTGTGACTCAAGTGTGCCTGGTCACCTCCTGGCAGCAGAGCTTGAGCGCCCTCTTCCTTCTTCTCCAAACTCAACGTCTACTCAGAAATAGTTTTGTTGCCAGTTTGAAAGAAGAAATAGCACTCTATTTGCGCTTTTATTTTCCCTTTAAAAATTATTATTGAGGCTGAGTTTTTTGTATTTGTTAGTTAGTTGTATTTCTTTTGTGAATTGTCCCCAAATATGTCTTTTCATCCATTTTCTTCTGTGAATTTTGGGGTGCTTTCTCCATAATTTGTGAGAGTTCTTTATTTTGTGGGGATAGAAGTGTTTTGTGATGGGCTTCTGGTAGTTCTCCTGTTCAGTCCTTGCCGTTCAGGTTTATTTGCTAGTCAGGCTTACGTGTCTCTCATAGGGAAGGCGGCTATTTGATTCTGTGGTGCGCAGGTCTTTGCACTTTACTCCTTTGGAGTCAGATACTGTTTATCCTCTGTGTGTCTCACGGTCTCTTGTCTGTAGGGGCTGCCATCGCCTGTGCCGGTAGGTGCAGTAGGTATTTGCTGGCTTGGCTGGGTAGTTTCCACTATAGCCCCAAGTGCTTTTCTCACCGTGGCGTTTAAAGACCATTGAACGTAGACCTGAATTGCTGTTTGAAACTATCTTTTGATGCCTTCTGATCCAAGTCAGATGAAAGAGCCAATATTCAAACTCACAGAGTGAGAGTCAGAACTTTGAAAAAAAAAACCTCAGACAGTACAGTGGCACTTTCTTATAAAAAGCCCCCTGAAACTCATGGATTCTGTGCACTGGAGGCCAATAAGCATTTCTTTGTGTGAATACGCCAGTTCGTTTAGTTAATCTCACATTGGTGACCTGTAAATCCCTGAATCTGACGCTCATCTTGCTTCATTTAAGTAGCCTTCTTTTCCTTCATCACCTACCGTGTGTTGTAAAAAGTCCTGTATGTTGGCTGTCTGCCTGGTCAAATGGTGAGGTACTGATCTATCAACTCTAGAACACTCCCTTCTCCTTTCCTGTGGTAAGGATTGGAAAGAATTGTGGTTGCTTCAGCTAAAGATACGCCTTTTGCCACTAGATGGCACTACAAGATTTCTCTGAAAACATAATCTCCACAATGAGAAGACAGCTCACTGCAACTCAATATGTACCTCAAAACTCCCGGAAACAGTCTTCATTCTTCCTGTGTGTAACACATGGTGGTATTTTCTATCTCTTATTCTTGTCTTCATATTTAAAAAATGAAGATTTGCACAGTGTTCAAATTGAATTTGATAGTAATGAGGCACACATTGTTGAAATCCAAATTGTTTAATTTTTTGTTCTTATTTATTTATTTTATGGTATTAGGATTGAATGTAGTGCCTTAAGCAAGAATGGTTCCACTGAGTTGTTTTGTTTTGTATTTTTGCTTGCTGAGACAGGATTTCATTACTTAGCCCCAGCTGGCCTGCCTGGAACTTGCTATGTAGATCAGGCTAGCCTAGATCTCTCAGAGATCCGCCTACCTCTGCCTCCCAAATGCTGGGATTAAAGATGTGAACCACCATGACTGGCTCTACAACTGAGCTTTATCCTCTGTCTACTGAGTAAACTCACTGTGGTCAGACTGTAAGTGTGTTGTTTGCTTTGGACTGTATAGACTTAGATAGCAAGGCCTGGATAGTGAGCATTTTTTGCATACTATATTAAATACCTCACTTCACGTGCTTCCTCATGGTACCAGCAATGTGCAAACACCAGTGAGAGACAAGCCTGTACAGAAATATGGCACTTACTATGGCAAGGCAGAAGTCAGTCTTGTTACTTAGTGTGCTGCCACACATCTGTAACCTCAGCCCTTGGAGGGTGAGGCAGGAGGAATGCAGATGCTGATATGCCGAAGACCTTGTCTCAAAACCTAAATCAAATAAGAAAAAGAGTCTTTTTTAAAAGATGTATTTATTTATTATGTATACATTGTTCTGCCTGCATGTATTCCTGAAGGCCAGAAGAGGGGACCTGATCTCATTATGAATTGTTGGGAACCACCATGTGGTTGCTGGGAATTGAACTCAGTACCTCTGGAAGAGCAGCCAGTGCTCTTAACCTCTGAGCCCTCTCTTTAGCCCAAGAGAAAGAAGTCTTATTGGTAGTTACAAGGAAAAGATGTAGTGTCTGCTTCTGGGAGCTTAGACTGCAGCTTGGAGATGTACTACTGTACACACCCTTTAGACCTGACATAGTTTTAAGGAACATGGGGCTAGAGGTGTAAAGACTCAGAGTAGGAGTCAGGAAACTTTCTGTTACAATTAATAATCTTGACATAATGTTTACCTAGTGAACAGATGATCATAAGTCCCTGTGAAGGGTGAGATGGGTTATTTTTATTTAGGGTCCTGGGAAAGGAATTAGCAATAAGAAGAAGAGAGGTGAGACATGATTGAAGTGGAAAACATCAGTCAGGGTGGTGCCATGTTAGTGTGAAGATGTTAGGTGGGTCTTGTTAGGGGGCTGTGGGGCAGTCCATGTGCATTTATTGGCCTTTTGAAGTCTATATTTTTCCCTCCGTGGTTCTTGGGAACTTGACAGTGATGCCTAGGACTGAAAAACCCGTGCTCACTGCCTGCCTTTTCAACTCTCCCAGGTTTGCAGTGAGCGTCGGCTACTGGCATGATCCATACATCGAGCATCTTGTGAGGCAGTCTAAAGAGAGGAAGGCCCCTGAAATTAACAGAGGTAAGTGACCATCTGCCTTCCCACCGTCTCAGCACCCTGAGCCCTGAGGCTTTACAGATTCGCTCTTAGGGAGCCTTCCAAGGTGTACGCTTCACAAAGCATAGGTAAGGCCTTAGTTCCCAGTGTTCTCACCAACCTGGGATCCTATAAAACTTTCTCATCTCAACCTGATCATAAAAATGGTGTTACTGAAATTGGTTGTCTATTTCCTCTGTTTATAAAAGAGACTACATTTTCCTGTTTAAAATCTATTCATATCTACAGATATTCGTAGAGTGCTTGCTTAGCATGCACAAGTTCAGGGGTTCAGCTTCTAGTACTGAAAAATATGTGCGCACACACATATATATACACACACAACCTCTTTATAAGCCAAGTGTGGTGGGGCATGCCTGTATTTCCAGTGCTCTGAAAGCTAAGGCAGGAAAATAGTGAGTTTAAAACCATCTGGACTATACAATAAGGCCCTGTCTCAAAACAAACTAACAAACAAACAAATAAAAAACAACCACACACACATAAAACACTAAGCAAAAGAAAACTATTATGTATCTTTCGCTGTGAACTATCTGTGTGATGGCAACCTTTTGTGGGTTTTTATAGTGTTTAACACTGTTGGGCTTTTAAGTCATTTCGTCAAGAGTTTGAGGCAGAAACATGATTTACTTTCTGCCCCAGTGAAAACTAGCTGAGTGATCTTAATTCAGCTGTGTGCAGTGTTGGGGAACTTTTGGCTCCTAGAGGTAGATCCTTGCAGATAGTTTCTGTGAGCAATGCAAAGAGATTTAAATACCACGGGTCCCCGGGTAAGGTCATGTTAGTTTCCTTGGCATTCTTCCCTATGGTCTTGAGGCAGATTTCCTAATGAGTGTTTTAGAGCCAGTGACTCTTGTGGCACCTGGTTCTCTGGAGGCTTTGAGGGACAGTGTGTGTTGCCCCCGAGTGACTCACAGCTTGTTTCTCTGGAACTCTCTTTAAGGATATTTTGCTCGAGTTCATGGTGTCAGCCAGCTCATTAAAGCTTTTCTCCGGAAGACAGAATGTCGTTGTCAAATTCTCAACCTTGGGGCTGGGATGGACACCACCTTCTGGAAGTTAAAGGTAATTAAAGACTACTACAGTTGCTCCAGTTTAGTTCTTTGGAGATGATTACTTAGTTTAAACTTTTAAAAAAATATTAGAAGAGGGGACTGTCTCAGCTGGTAAAGCAGAGACCAGAGTTCAGTCCCTAGGATCCACATAAAAAGCTGGGCATAGTGGTTTGCACTTGTAACCCCACACTGGGAAGTTGGGGTGGGGCAGAAACTGGTGATCCCTGGAAGTTTTTGGGCCAGCTAGCTTAGCCTATGTGAGGGTTTCCAAGACAATGAGAAATCCTGTTTTGAACAAAAAGTAGATTGCACTTGAGAGGAATGACATTTGAGGTGGTCCTCTGCCTCCACATGCATGTGTAAACACAGTGATCATGCAAACACACGTGTACATATGAACATGCATATAAATTTAAAAAATAAATATATTGAAGTAATTCAATAGGCTTTTTCATCCCATTCCATCTGCCTAAATGCACCCCATAGTCACCCCTACTATAACTGTCAACCCTTTGTTTTTCCTCAGGGCCCAATAACTTAGATCGTTTCTAATTGTTTTTGTACTAAAACTTCATATGTTTTCTTCTGTGTGCTGATATACAGCATGAAGAAAATAATTTCCACCAGAATCACTGAGACCAAATCTATAAATTTATGAATTTGTAATTTTGGTAGTAACTATGATCTGTTGACCATGTAATGTCTTTTAGGGTAAGAGTCAGAGATTTGTGAAATGGATATGCAAGGTATGACATAAAGCCTGTTGTGGTTGTTCTGGTTGGAGCTCTGGCTACCCTGAGGGGTAGAGAGGCAGGTCTGATCGTACTCACAAGGAAGGGACATGATTCTGCTGAAGTTCTGCCTTGACTCCATGATCCTGGTTTTTCTGTGACATGTCCTCTCTGTCACATGTCCTTTCTTCAGGTTTGTGCAGATTTCTTGTCTTCTCTGTGAGGTCTGTCATGTGTAGTAATGGGTCTGTACATTTCCCTAGTTACTTGTAAGTGTAGAATAAGATAAATAAGAATGTTTGTACATAACCCAGCCTGCATAGATCTTTGGTCTCTAATCAGTTCACCTGATAAGGACTTTGGTCATCAAAGCACCCAGCTTTTTTTTTTTTCGCGAGAAACCCATGGTCAGTGTGATCTTGGTGTTCTTGTTTGCATTTTAATTTTTCTCTAGGATAAGATAACTGGCATTTATGAGAGCTTTTATGTGATACAGCGTTATTGTGAGAGCGCTGTGAGAGGTTTCACAGATGGAGGCAGAGGGCCTGGGACAGAGTCTTCTGGGATCCAACAACCTGTGGCTTTAGAATGGGGACACGCATTGCAGTGAACTCAAGTCCTTGTTTACACACAGTGCTCTGGTTATCTGGGGAGGCCTTATTAGTGGCATCATTTCCGCAGGCCTATTTTATCTTTGTAACAGAGTGTTGCATGGTTGGTATAAGGAACTCAAGCAGATTCTGTGTAAGAGTGTTGCTCTTGAGAGATCCCTCCACTGGGCCTGAGATTCCTTGATCACATGGGTTGCTTTCTTTCCCCTTGTAGATAACTTGATAATTATAAATCTGAGATTTTTATTTACAAACAAAGTTCACTTCTTCTAAGAAGAAAAATTACCTGTCAGTAGTAAGAAAGGAAATGGCAGAAAGTTTGAAGTTCTTTGTAGGAAATTTTATATTTTTATTGATAGTCTTGTTGGTCTGGACTACTTTTTTTCTTAAATCCAAACTTCCTTTTTAAGGATATTGTAGATATTTTTTTGTTTGTTCTTTTTTTAAATTTAGGTGTGTGGGTGTTTTGCATGCATATATGTTTGTGCACGAAGTGCGTGCCTGATGTCCACAGAAGCTAGAAGAGGCTGTCAGATCCCCTGGAACTGGAGTTACAGATATGAGTCCTGGGAGTTAAACCCATGTTCTTTGGAAGAGCGGTCAATGCTCTTAACCACGAAGCTGTCTTTCCAGCTCCCTGTTTGCTCTTAGAGAGCAAGAATTTCAAACAAGCGATAGGCTAAATCTGGCCCACCACCTGTTTTTATAAATAAAGCTTTATTGGAACACAGCCACTTCCATTTGTTTGTATAGTGTTCATATTTAGCAGCCCTATGACTAGGATGACAACCGAGACCATCTGACCTGAAAAGATTAAACTCTTTTTCTGGCTTTTTGCAGAAAAGAATTACGAATATGTGTCTTAGAGATGTATACCTTTCCACAAAAGCATAGAAAGAGCCTATCCTTGCTCTTACTGTGTCTTTTACCTTCTAGCTAGAAAGGCTGAATCTGCAGAGGTGAAGCTGCAGCTATGGACTTCTGCTCTTTCTGTGTGTTCTTGGGAACCCAAGACCCTTTGTATAGTTGGGGGTTTCCTGTAGACAAGAAAACTGGGATTGTCAGAAAAAGAATAAGGGATAAAGGGTAAAGCCTCTTAAGGTACCTCACCTTCTTTTTTTTTTTCTTTTTTCTTTTTTTTAGAAAGTAATTTTATTAAATTATAAAAGTTTTCATTTACGCCCCTCTTCCCAACACCCTCCCACTCCCCCAACTCCCTCTCCTCCTCCCTCTTCGTCCCTAAGAGCAGTCAGGATTTCCTGCCTTGTGGGAAGTTCAAGTTCCTCCCCCCTCCCTCCAGGTCCAGGAAGGTGAGTATCCAAACAGACTGGATCCCCAAAATCCAGTATATGCAGAGGAAACAAGTCCCAGTGTCATTGTCAATGGCTTTTCAGAAAGACTCCAGGCCAGCCACATTCAGAGAATCCGGCCACATTCAGAGAATCTGGTTGGATCACGTCCTCGTTCAGTCCCAGTCCAACTGGCCTTGGTAAACTCTCATTAGATCCGTCCCCTTTTATCAGTGGGTGATAGCATCCCTCGCAGTCCTTATTTCCTTTTTCATGTTCTTCCTCCTTCTGCTCCTCATTTGGACCTTGGGGGGCTCAGTCCGGTGCTCCAATGTGGGTCTCCGTCTGTATCGTCATCCATCGCCAGATGAAGGATCTGGCACTCTTGTCTATTTCCTACCTCCTGGCGGATAGCTAAATAATCTTCATCAGGTTCATCTTCTTATTTAGCTTCTCTAGGATCACGAATAATAGGCTCAAAGACCTTTAATTATGGTTAGAATCCACTTATAAGTGAATACATACCGTGTTCCTCTTTTTGGGTCTGGCTTACCTCACTCAGTAAAGCGTTTTCTATTTCCATCCATTTGCATGCAAAATTCAAGATGTCATTGTTTTTTACCGCTGAGTAAAACTCTAATGTGTATATGTTCCACACCTTTTTTAACCATTCTTCTATTGAGGGGCACCTAGGCTGTTTCCAGGTTCTGGCTATTACAAATAGTGCTGCTATGAACATAGTTGAACTTTCGTTATTTGCTGACGATATGATAGTGTACATAAGTGACCCCAAAAACTCTACCAAAGAACTCCTACAGCTGGTACCTCACCTCTTAATGTCTCTTTAGTCCTGTGGAAGGAAAGAACGCTGACCTTGGCAGTGTGTGAAGTGGTCAGCTGTGGTGGCTTCCCTCTGCATCTAAGTGATGCTCTTCCCAGCTGCCCTGACCTAGACTTGAGGCCTCTGTGTCAGCTCATTGTCCAGGAGCTCTTTAGGCTTGTATTAATGCACAGAGAATCGGAGTATCAGTGATTGAAGTATGATTTGCCACAGTTGTTTTTCCTTCAACTGGGAAGGATGCTAGGTGACTCAGGAGGGCAAGTGTCTGGACTAGCCCTTGAAAGAGGTCACTGCCTTGTGAGTTATAGGTCATTGTGAATTACCATGTGGGTGCTGGGAATTAAACTTTACTCCTCTGGAAGTACACTTTTAACCACTGAACTATCCCTCCAGCCCTTGTAAGTGTTCACTCCTTGGCCGATTCAGATAAATAGTGGTGCTGGGATCTGGAAGAACAGTTATTGCTCTTAACCACTGAGCTCTCTCCCAGCCCGTGTTCATTTTTTAAGTAATGACCCCTTGGCCCATTCAGATGAATGGTGGAGCTTGGATTTGAGTGTTGTAAGGAGGCTGCTAGTTAAGTTCCTGACGGCCCAGCCGCTCAGTCAGTAGGTGTCAATTGTTGTGAGTAGGAGGCTGCTTGTTGGTTCCTGGCTGCTCAGCCCCAAAATAATCACACAGAAACTGTATTAATTAAATCACTGCTTCGCCCATTAGCTCTAGCTTCTTGTTTGCTAACTTTTACATCTTAATTTAACCCATCTCCATTAATCTGTGCATCACTACGAGGTCGTGGCCTACCAGTAAGGTTTCAATGTTTCTGTCTCTGGCAGCTGCTCATGGCTTCTCCCTGACTCTGCCTTCTCTCTCCCAGCATTCAGTTTAATTTTCCCTGCCTAGCTAAGTTCTGTCTTGCTATAGGTCCAAAGCAGTTTCTTTATTAATCAATGGTATTCACAGCATACAGAAGGGGATCCCACATTATTTGAGCCTTATTCTTCATTGGCTTTGTTACAGCAGCAAAGAAATGATCCTAACCCTATGCACGTGATGCTTCTTCGTAGTAGCTGTTTCATTCTAAATGAATCCCTAAAATGTTGGGCAATACAGATTCTACATTGACTTCCTGATGGTCTCTAATTGTTTCAAGTACTTTTGGAAGAATACATACTGTGTTTTGACACCTCCCAACTCCTTCCCAACCCCTCAGTTTCAAGCTCTGTAGACCTTACCTGGACAAGTACAGAAACCTCTTTGTTTTTCTTGTATCTATTTTTAAATGCATGTATATGTGTATTTTGTGTGTGTGTGTGCATGTGTATATGTGTGTATATGTATACATGTGTGTGTGTACGTGCATGTGTATACAAATGCATATGGAGGCCAGAGAACAACCTAGGGTCATCTTCAGGAACACTATTTACTTCCCCTGAGACAGGTTTCTCACTGGCTTAGAACTTAACAATCAGGCTAGACCACCTGGCTAAAGAGCCTTAGGGACCCTCCTGTCATTGCCTCCTCAGCACTGGGATTACAAACTCACACCACCATGATTGGCATTTTACATGGGAATTACACTCAGGTCCTGACACTTGTAAGACAAACAATTCACTGACTATATCCCAGCTTCTGTATTTATTCTTGCTCTTCTCGAATACATTCTTAATGAGACCATAGTAATTTGAAAATGCTCTTCTGGGGCTGCAGAGATGGCTTACTAGCTAAGAGCACTTGCTGTTCTTGCAGAGGACCCAGGTTCAATTTTCAGCACCCATATGATGGTTCACAACCATCTTTAATTCCAGAGGATTGAATGGTCTGTAAGGGTGAAGGCATATACACGTTGCACAGGATTTATACAGGCTCAGGGAACATTCATACACATGAATAAAAATAATAGAACACTTCTGATCATATGAGTCTCCTGACCTAAAATCCCCAAGTACCGCCATTGCTGTTAGGCAATTAGGGCTTGCTATGCAGTGACTATGTGAGTTAAGGAATACTTCTTTGTGGTTTTCTCCAGGATGAAGGTCTTCTCCCAAATAAATATTTTGAAGTCGACTTTCCAATGATAGTCACGAGAAAGCTGCACACCATCAAGTAAGTGTGGCTTTGTTGGGGACAGGATGCCAGTTGGTGGAGACACAGCTCATGTGTCGTGGCTGAGTGTGAGAGACCTCACTGGAGAGTGCTGCTGTCTTTCACTTTGCTTACCTGGAGCCAGCAGCCCTGCACGTGTGACCTTCAGCATTCACTTACATTCTGGGTGACTTTCCTTTCTCATTAATGAAACTTCCCAGAAGATTAAAGATTGGCCTGTGCGGAGCATAGTTGAATACTCTGAATTTTTTGTGTATTTTGATTACTGCTTTATCCTGAGATATAGACAGTAACCTGGTCCCAAACTGATGTAGTGGTTTCTTTCCTGATTTGAGTGTGTGGAATGCTTGGTGGCTATTCTGAGGGGCTTGCAGAGCTTCAGGTGATGCGTGTTTCTTTGCCTCTTGCTCTCTTGAGGGTTTTGTTTTGTTTTTTGAGGGGGGTGGCTCGCTCCTCATGGTAGACCTGGGAACTGAGTTCTCAGAACCCTTTTTGTAGATGAAGAGATTTTGCTCAGAGATTTTGACTTGTCCAGGGTTACCTGGCTAGCATGGGTGGAGCTAAGATCTAAACCCCAACTTCAAAAGTCAGGACTTAATAGGGTTTTTTAAAAATTATTTTTTAATACTCCTATTCCGCTTTAAGTAGTTATTTTAAAAAAGCTTCATTATTATATATTTTAGAATTCCATAGACATTGAAACTTTGAGTTTATTCTGTAGAGCTACTACATCCCTATGCGTTGGGAATATTTTCTGCTTTCCTGTGGTCTGTACATGAGTTTTCCAGTTTTTCTAAATATTAGCTACATTTTATATTAGAAGGGTTTTAAGATGATGAATGGTGACCTTGGAACTGTGTAGTTCTGCTGAGCTCATTCAAACTCTGGGTGAGGTGGGCGTGAATGGGCCTTCGGTGAAGCTCGGGATGACTTCCTGGAAAGAAAAACAGGCTTTACCTGTGCATAGTTGTGTGGTTCTCTGATTTCGGGTTTCTTTTTTTCATTTGCTGGGTTACAGGAGTTACATTATAAATATTACTGAGCTTTTAGTCATGACAAAGAACAGACAGGATCATAAGATACAATTTTGTTTGAGAATAAGCAAGAAACTGGAGGTAGCTGGGAAACCTTTTAGAAAATTTGTGTTAGCCTACTTCTAGTTATTTTTAAATCCAGTCACTTGGTGATCAGCATGTGATTTAAATGCCTGTGTAAACTAAGTGCTGCTGTGCACACAGGGTCAAGGAAGAGTAGGTGGACTGAAGGACTTCCAGAGTGGCCCTTGTTCTGCACATTAGCAACACGCCAAACTTCCCTCATCCAAAAATATAAAGTAAAAATGCTCCAGAATCAAATATTTTCAGCATCATGTTCAATTAGGGAAGTGTTACAGTAAAGTCTATGCAAATATTACAGAATCTCACAGACATTCCAAATCTGTGCAGTTTCTCGTCCCAAGCATTTTGGATAAGGAGTATTTGGTATGTGCTCACAGTTTGTGACAGACGTCTGCATTTGGCAGTAAGTGCACTCATGTGTTAATTGACTCTTTTCTCCTCTTTCCCATCTTCCCATAGAAGCAAGCCATTTCTGTTCAGACCCATCATGGAGTTACACCCAGAGGACACTCTGCAGCTAGGCAAGTAGCCTTGCGAGCCGCACAGTTGGGATCATAACACAATTGCGTGTTGAGACGCGGCCCTCTCTGCAGTCTTTTCATTATGCTAATCTGCTCAGCTCCGGATGTCTGTATTGCTGCTCAACAGTTTCCTTTTTGGTAGTGCTGGGGGTCAAATCTAGAACCTTCTACATGCTAGTCAAGCCTTGCACCACTTAGCCACATCCCTGAACCCCATGTAATTGTAATTGTTCCTGACACGTTCTCTCAGTGCCGAGCCTTCTGGATTATGGGTATTTTTTAGATCTCTACCAGAATTTTCCATTGTGTTCAGTTGTGATTGGCAGAGAAGGTCAAGGGGTTTAATTGTCTTTCAGACTCTGAGAGTGGTCTTCTCTGATTATCCACACAGTAGCCTTCAGGCACCCAGACAGACCTCCTTTTGTGTACACCTGCAGTGCCATAGTCGTGTTCCTTGTGACTGGAGTCTTGGTAAAGTTCCCGCATACGTGCGTGTGGCTCCCAGCCTTTGTTTTCCCACACAGACTGGCTGTACCTGTTTGACTATTCCCTTTTCTGTGGCAGTTACTGTAAGCTTGGTTAATTGGTGTTACATTAGGATCTGTCTTGCGCATCTTTGCACTTTACGTTACTTTGACCAACAACGTGGAAGTGTATGGAGTAAAACCTCTTCCCATTGCATGCGCTCCATGCAGCATTACCATGCTTGATATGTTCGTTTTTCACCTTTCTTTTTGAATTATGAGCCCCATGATTACAAGGGGTTTATTGTTTTTCTTCAGGATCCTGTTGGGTAGCTTGGACTGAACTAGAACTTAGGTCTGTTTTGCCTCTGTCTCCTCAGAGCTGGGGTCACAGGCAATGCCATCATGCCCAGCTTAGACCACATCTTCTTGGGCATCTTTGTATTCCAGAATTGGCTCGGTGCCCTATACATAGTACCAACGAATTATCAGATTGGTGGGCCGATGGATAAATTAATCTTATATATATGAAAAAATCCACCTGAGATGGATTCTCTTTTACTTTAAAACAAAAACAAAACTCAAGTGTTCTGGAAAAATTTCTTATCTAACAAGTCTCTCACTGAAGAGGTCATGGGTTGGATTGGTTGAGTTCAGCCAAGATCAGCTTGCCTTTTAAAATGCTTACTTGAAAAATACCAGCACTGTTGAGTCATTCTTTGTACATGCGTGAGTGTTATTTATAGACCATGTACTATTGCTCACACCTTCTCTTTGCTCATGCCTTTTCCTGAACTGTAGCTTCAGGCAGCAGTTATCACAGCCTTTATCAGTTACCCTTTGCTCTGTAGCAAACCACTGCAAACCATGTGGCCCAAAACAGCTGCCGTCTGCTTAGCACACAGTGTGGCTTGTCTCTTTCAGTTTGGTTCATTTGGAGAGAACTTCTGAGTTGGGCTCTGTCTTTGCTAAAGACCTCCAGTGTGTCTCTAGCCATTGAGCCAACCCTGTCTGTTTAGAATTACAGTTCCTTGAAGGTCTCAGTAACTTGACAATACCCTAGGCCAAAAGATATTTTCCACACTTCAGTTTATTAATTAGTTGTGTTCAGACATCTGAAATATATATGTTGTAGCATTTTATTAGTCATTTAAAAAGCAACAGGCAAGTTGGACAAGCACAATCTATACATCCATACATTTAGACAAGTCTTGCTGTGCAGTCAAGACTGCCTTAAAATTGCAATTCCTTTGCCTCTGCCTCACAAGTGGTAGGATTCCTCTTGTGTGACTGTTTCTTAAAACACTACAGTTACTAATGAGACCTGTTTGATACTGTTAGGGAAAAATCTTAAGAAGAGCCTCTCCGCTGATGCAAAATAACTCCAATTAAATCAGATTAGACCAAATAAAAAATTGCCGACGTTTTATAAATGCCATACTCTCTGGTGGCTGGGAGCATGGTGGGGGGAAGACAGAGGGAGAACACACTCAAAGCCCAAAACCACATGTTCCTTTTTCTGGCGAGCCTATATAGCCTGTGGAAGTGGTCCTGACCCTCCCTGGAGGAGGGATCAGTGCTTGGCAGGCTGGGAGTTGGAGTCCAGACCAAGGCAACTCCCAGAAGCTGGATTGACACGTCCAGTCATCCCAGACTTCGTGGATATAGGGGTGTCAGAGGACTGGAGTCTCAGTTTCAACCAAACATCCCAGAGTTCTTGGATATAGGGGTGTTGGTTCAAGTTTGGCTACTTCCTATGGGCATGAGGCAACGTGGGAGAGGGGAGAGCTGGGAGTTGGTGGGCTCGCGTTCAGCAAGAGGAGTGGCCCTATGAAATGGGCTAGCCATGGGATGGGACACAATAGCTGATAAAACCAGATTTTAGTTGGTAGGTGTCCTTGATCCAGAAGAGTTGGTACCAATGGTGAAGTCCCAGGAGCTGGTGCAGGTGTTGGCATTGTCTGGAGAGCGCTTTATGAGTTGGTCTTGGCCCAGGCAGCAGGAGTGATCTGTAAAATATGCTTGAAACTGGCTGGGGTTAGCAAAAGGCTGTTAGTTTTTATGCACCTGAAACCTGTTAGGCACACCTGTCTGTATTTTAGCAGGAAACTTTATTAAATGTCATGGGTGAAGTAATAAGTTAACAGTGCCTAGGTTGTCAAATGCCATTAGACAGATCTGGGAGGGATAAATGAGCAAAAATGAGACAGCATTTTAGCTACGCAGGCAATCCCAAATCCTCTCCTTAGTCCTTGGAGACCACCAGTCTTAGAAGCAGTGCTTGCCATTAGCTCCTAAGTACAAGAGGCACAAAAATTTTCCTGGCTTGGCAGGATGAGAAGATTGATTCCCCAGGTGAAGAAGCATCCAGGAAGCTGAAGAGGTGAAAGGCCACTTTTTGCTGTATGGATGGGTTTACCCAAAGGCAGGACCTGGAGGTGGAAGGTCTTCTGTCTTCTTGGAGGAGCTAAAGGGTACTGCAGAAGCTGCCATGTCTGTGTTAGAAGCTTTTTTGTTAAAATGCCATACCCTCAGATCTGTAAAGGCACTTGAGAGTCAGGGTACCATTGCCTGTTATTTTTAACTGGGCATATAAGCTAAACTTAGACATGTATTTTATCCAATTAGTTATAGTTTATCAATGCTAGTAGATGCAAGAAGATTAAAAGGAATATTTTAATAGGTCAAAGAGTACTAGCACATGCGGGTACCCTTACCAAAGATGGCAGACTAACACACGTGGGTACCCTTACCAAAGATGGTGGTGAGCTTAAAATGGTGGCTACCCACATGTTTGTATTTTTCCAGAGCTGCTGTAATCTGGAGATATAAGTTTTACTGATCTTAACATAAGCACACATGGATACAGAAACTTAAATTGAGCACATCACGAAATCACATTTATACATTCACACAGTCATACTGTGGCCACATCATTCTAACAGACAGACAAATAAAACACTTGGAAACCTGTGCTAGGGAACGGGAGTGGGGAGAGCAGGAGAGCGGGGAGGGAGTGCACATCTAGGAACTGTGAACTTTTGGAGCCTTGTTTGTTTTCGATAGCCCCATTTAAAAGGATTTTTGTAAAAGGCTGCTGAAGGACCTCTCTCCTGATGCAAAATAACTCAAATTAAACCAGATTAGACCAAATAAAAAATGCCCATGTTTAATGAATGCCACACTCCCAGGTGGACCAGGACAGCATGGCGGGGAGAGGAGCCCAGGCAAACCCTGGAGACCACATGTTCCTTTTTCTGGTGTGAGCCTAAATAGCCTGTGGGCATGGTCCTGATCCTCCCTGGGAAGGGGGTCAGGGCTTGGCAGGTTGGGAGTTAGAGTCCAGACCAAAACAACTCCCAGGCCAGGGGCTGGGGTGACGCTTCCAATCAGATATCTCACAACTTCACCTTGGAATCAGGTTGGGCACCACTTTTGTCCACATTGTCATTCACAGTGTTAACTTTTTATTTATGGTATACAGGAACTTAGCTACCCAGAGAGATGATAACATCGGAGGAATTCAGAGTGATGTAGTATTGACATGTTTTGGTCTAGTAGTTTGCTCGTGTCTGACTGATATTATCTCTTTGTTGCAGAAATTCAGTACACTCTGCTTCATCCCTGTGAATTTGCTATGCCACCCAGTGTATCTCAGTACACATTTAGAAACCTTGAACTCATCAGTTTAGCATCTTCAGTACTAAATATAATCATCTGAGATCAGCACTGTCTACATCTTACAATTAAAAGAAAGATCGTCACGTGGTTATGTTACTAAGTTGAAATGTGACCATTTTACTTGAAAGGAGGTTTTGCTTTTTGTTTTTTTGTGGTCTGCAATTCCTCCTTTTGTTTGTCCAGGCTGATGTTGAGTTCCAGGGCTCAAGCAATCCTTCTGCCTCCGCCTCTTGAGTGGTAGTTACTGTATGACTTTGAAGAGTTTACTGTTGACTAGTAGATCTTGAGTTTTGATGCCTCTCTTTGTGTCGGGGTTTCTGTGTCTTCATTACTGATATTTCGGGTCTGATTCCGCTGGGGGTGGCCATGCTTATCATGGGACACTTCCACAACCCGCCCTTCAGTCATGACAAGCAAGTATGTCTTTAGATATACCACATGCTCTGAGAGGTGAAGTTGCTCCTGATTGAGAACCGCTGCTTAAGCTGAAGAATGTCTAAGCTTATGTAATGAGAATTTTCATAGTTACCTCTTCATTTTGGCCATGTATAAGCTAGTTTTTAATTTTTAAGCCTTATCAGTTGTATTTTCAAAGCTTTGCCTTTGTCAGTCCCCTTAGCAAGTCCTCTAAAGGAGTTTTGATTATAAAACTACCAGTAGTAATGCATAGGTGTTATTTTTAACTTTTTTCCCCTGAGACAGGTCTCATGAAACTCAGACTGGCCCAAAGTCACTATATAATGAAGCTTTCTTTCAGCTCTCAGTCCTGTGCCTCTACCTTCAAGTGCTAGGATTTCAGGCTTAAACCCCCTTGCCCAATACCCAGGATTTAAACCAACACTAATTGGCTTTCCAGACCTGGACATTCCCATTCTGTAAGCATCACATAAAACACTTTGACCCTTCCTCTATGTTCTCTTATTTAAAAAAAAAAGAACCTAGAAGAAAAGGAGGGATGCAACTCCCATGGTCATGGTCAAGACATTTCTGTCATCTTCTTTGGGGAACACTCCAGTGTGCATGGCTTTCCGCTTGATCTGTGGTCTCTGGCCAGTGCTGAATTTCATAGAAGTGTGTGTTTTCTCAAAATAATAAAACCTCATTGGAACTTGCTCTAAGCCCCATAGCAGAGAGGCTTCCTCTGAGGACAGACAATGGACCTCGTATATCTAAATAACTGGAACAGTTTGACTCAGGGACAACTGCATATGGTGCTGATGTGTGCTGTTCCAGTCCTTAGGTCATGCTGTCCAGGGCTTCCTGCCTGTGGTGTGCCACAGGCTGGGGCTGAGAGCCTCTGAACACTGCGTTCACATCTGCTGTCCTTGTTCACTGTTTGCTTCTTACTGTTTCGATACTGGTCCTAGTAAGATGAGTCTCTCCCAAACTGCTTGGTTGCCTCTTTCTGCCACTGTGTTCCATATTAGAAAACTGCATGCTTCAAAATTCTGTTGTGTGTTTTTGGGTTTTGGTCTGGAATGGAAAAACTCATTCAAGATTTCTTGCCATCAATGTATTATTTTTTAAGAAGGCATATAGGCATATGGGATTGTTTGTTATGTTATATATTATAGGCAGACAAGCGTTTTGCATTCTTTATATTTTTTTCTTGAGCCAGCACTGTGGTACCTTGGGGCTGACTCTGGGTTCCCTGTTTGTCCTTTATTGCTTCATTGACAGCAAAGGGGTTCCCAGGATATGTTTATATTTTCTTTCAGTGTGTTTGAATCAGCCAAATGGGCTGATGAAGATAAGGGCACCTGCTTACTTGTTATAATTTTTCCCCCTTAGTCCTGGGGATTGAATAGAGGGTTTTATACATGCTAGACAGATGCTCTGCCATTCTCAGCACCTTTTGTGAGGGTTCTCAGAGCCAAAATGTGAATCAGTAGCAGTGGTTCAGGATGGCTGTGGTCTGTATCAGTGAGGAGACAGTAAAATAAGGCCTGTGTAGAGATATAATTGGTTTGGCATGGTGACACATACCTGTTACCCCAACACTCAAGTAGTGGGAGGATTTCTGGGAGCGCAAAACCAGACTGCACTAAAAAACAAACAGAAACTAGTCATTCAATAATTGAAAGGGTTTCTAAGGACACACCAAAGTATCATGACTCTATTGAGGACCCTCAAAGCTGGGTATCATTGTATTTGTAGCCGTTGTTTTCTAAGTGTAGGCTCCAGACCGACAACAGCAGAGCCACCTGGGAATGTGCTAGAGATGCAGTTGTCTGCTGTGGGGAGGTCTACACAATGCTAACTCGGTGCAGCCCTCAGGGAGACTGTGAAGGTCCTAAAGCTCGAGAACCATTGCAGACACCATTCCATCCCACCTCTGGCACAGCTCAAAACTCAGTTCTGACTCATTTGTAAATGCATTGCTACATAAACTACTTTCTTTTAAATGTAACACATTACAAATGGCGTAGTGTTTGTAGAACCACCCACTCAGTATTTAAATAACTTAATCTTGGACTTCTTAATTCCACTCACATTCCTGTGCCTTGAAGAAGTAACTGACAGGTACTTCATATGTGTATGTACCAGAGTGCTCATTGCTGTGTCTCAAAGGGAGAAAATTTGGCAATACCGTGTGTCTAGTAGTAAGGGATTGGCTGAATATGAGGTGTTTTAGTTTGGTGATCCCATATGTTCTGTAGTGAGGGGTTGTGTTTTTCTCACAGTGGCCTGATAGGAAATCACTATAGAAACGGTGCCCTGGACTGGGCACGGTGATGCAGTCTGCAGTCCTAGATGGGCAAGCTGAGGTTGAAGGAATCAGTCTGAGAAACAGTAAGATCTCATCTTAAGAAAACTACTCAAAACAAAGAGAACAATGTCTTTGATGCTGCTGTTAAGTAGGAAAAGCAGTTTGTAAAACATGTATTGAGTGGTTCCATTTTATTAACTGTATGTGAAGGAGAGGTGTTTCGCTATCTGAGTTTAAGCATAAAGGAAAAAGGCTACAATGTTATAGTTATAACTTTAGAAGAGGTGTTAGGATTAAAGGTGTGTACTACCATGCCGGGATTAAAGTTACTCTAATTTTGAAAAAGCTGTATCTAGGTTCAAGGAATGGCTCAGCATTAAGAGCACTTGCTACCCTTCTAGAGGACCTAGGCTTGGTTCCCAGCATACACAAAGGAGGCTCTAAACCATCTGTAACTCCAGTTCCAGGCGATCTGGTCCCCCTTTCTGGCTTCCGATGACACCAGGCTTGCACATTATATACAGCCATACATGGAGGCAAAACATCCATACTTGTAAAAATTTTAAAGTAACCTTTAAAAAAAAAAAGGAAAAGGCCATGTTCATTAAAAGAATGATGTCATTGACTTGTGTTGAAATGAGATTTTATTTTTATTTTTTGTATTTACAGATGGGCACATGCTGGATTCAAAGAGATATGCCATCATTGGAGCAGATCTCCGAGACCTTTCTGAACTGGAAGAGAAGCTAAAGAAATGTAACATGAATACACAGTGAGATTTTTTTTTAACCCCTTATGTGTTTGTGATTTTATGTGCGCCATGAGATATAGTTAGTCACGGTGTAGCTTGTTACTTGCTACTGGTCTTTGTTGTTTCGTTGCTACCTAGTGTAGCTTTTTGAGATTTTTGTTTGTTCATTTGTTTTTGTTTTTCGAGACAGGGATTCTTGTGTGTCCCTGGCTATCCTGGAACTCACTGTAGACCAGGCTGGCCCCAAACTCAGAGATCTGCCTGCCTCTGCCTCTAGAATGTTGGAATTAATGGCGTGTGCCACTACTGACTGCCTGGTGTTTTCTGAGATTTCTATGCATTCTTTTCCTTGTCTGCTTTTCACCTATGGTTCCTTTTTAAAATGTTGGCCTTAATATAATAAACTAAGTGTGAGAGAGCTTATAACAGCATGTAAAGAGAGAGCTGGTTTCTATAATACATGGGGATTAACATGTACCAGGCTTTTCTCTTTTGGGCCACCAACCTGCTCCCAAATCATGACATCGAGACTTATTAGTTATGAATGCTTGGCCTAGCTTAGACTTGTTTCTGGCTAGTTCTTTTAACTTTAATTAACCTGTTTCTTTTTATCTACCTTTTGCCTTGGGGCTTTTTACCTTTTCCTTCTGTATTCCTACTTTTCCTGCTCTTCAGTGTCTGGCTGCCTGCCTGGCCACAGGTGTGTCTCTCTCTTTCTCCCTTGTTCTCCTCTCCTTTCTTCTCTCTCTTTTTTGCCTAGACTTTTTCCTCCTATTTATTTTCTCTGCCCCCCCAGCCCTGCCTGTCCTTTTTCTGCCTAGCTATTGGCCATTCAGCCTTTTATTAGACAATCAGATGCCTTAGACAGGCAAGGTGAAACAACAATATATCTTTTCATAATTAAACAAATGCAGCAGAAACAAATGTAACACATCTCTACACAGTTATATATTCCACAGTAGAAACAAATGTAACACACCTTTACACAGTTAAATATTCCACAACACTAGTGCTCATAAAAAGTGCTCCATAAATGACCAAAGTGACAGAATTTCAGGATATGTGATATATGCATATCACGCAAACCACAGTAGCCTCCAGATGACCAGGGCTATTAAACCACAGTAACCACTGGGTGACCTTGGCTATCAAAGCACAGTAGTCTCCAGATGATCAGGGCTATCAAACCACAGTAGCCACCAGATAACCAGGGCTATCAAACCACAGTAACCACCGGATGACCAGGGCTATCAAACCACAGTAGCCTTCAGATGACTAAGGCTATCAAACCACAGTAGCCACCAGATGTCCAGGGCTATCAAACCACAGAAACCATCAGATGAAACTCTGGTTTTCTCCCATCAAGGGTGGAAGAATGTGTAAATCTGACTGTATATAGTGTTGATCAGGATGTGAGTGGTGGGGAGTAGGCTGCAGTGATGACTTACTACCACGTGGGAATGAACTGGCTACAAGCCATGGTGAGGAGTAATGGGAAGTAGCTAGCTGAGTTGAAATGTGTAATATAAAAGTTCTACTTTGGATATATTTTCCAAACAAGGTGCTTCGTGCTTAAGGTGGGTGTTAATTACTGCAAGCAGAGTAGAAGAAAACTGGAAATGCCCCCTAGAAGGATAATGGATGAATAAAACATGAAGTGCATGACTCAAATCAACATGGAGACAACTCAGAATCTAATGATGAATTAAAAATCAAGTTGTAAAATAATGCCCTCATTGTGAGACCAGATATGTAAAACTCACACCTCCAGACTACTGACTGTGTTTTCATAGGTACATGCTGACATTGCAGAAGTGACTCGTAAGTAACAAGAAGATTCCTCCTTCCACACCAAGTTTCTGAGAGCTCTCCCCTGTGGAGATGAGGGAATGAAGTGTGAATTTAGAACCAGAACGCTGGTCAAAGTCAGACTGCAGTTCAACATGTGGTGGGAGGTGTCTGTACAGATGAAGATGACGTTGGGATGACTATTTGAAATTAGTACACAGGAGCACATTTAAAGGGAAGATACAGTCAAGGGAATGCTGCTTAGAAAAATAAAGCAAGGCAAAGCATCCATTGCAGAAAGTTAAAGAAGTGAGCAGCTGGGGAAATAAGTGCCAGGACAAGTGTACTAGGGATAGAGCCTGGCTGAGCATAGCTGTTCTTCTGAGGAAGGTGGGAGGGTGTGAGGCATGGGCAAGCTCTGGAAGACGGGTGGAGAGTGGGGGAGCATCCAGTCTTCATGGGTTTTCTAACACGTCTGCCACCATCAGTGTGGGAACGGTTTCTTTGCACACTGATGATCTTCTTGACCTGTTCAGCCCACACTCAGCAGCAGGGTTATTCTCTGTAGGACTTGTAGGCACACCTGTCCCATGCGAGAGATGCTCTAATGGCCTAGTGCTGCCATGGAGTCTCTGGCTCACTGAGAATTCAGAGAGCACTGTTGGTTCCCAGGCCATGGTGCTGTTAGGAGGGATGGAACCTCTCGGAAGGGGAACTGGGTAGGAGTTACTTTGGGAGCATGTTCTTGAAAGATGTTGGAGTCACGGTCCATCCCTTCCTCTGCTCCTGGTTATGAAGTATACCCTATTTTGCCATTTGTTTCTGACTATATGGAGCCTGGCCTTGGGCCCAAAGCAACAGGGCCAACTGGTCTTGAATGGAAAATTCTACAACTGTGTGCCAAAGTAAACCTTTTCTCTTTATGGCTCTCAGGTATGTGTTACAGGATGAGAGAGAAGTGAGTCAGTGAACGCTGAGTTCATGCTTCTTGTCCCTGGGATTTCCCACTCACAGTTCTCAGACTATAGTGTGTAGCATATTCTTCTGTTGGCTCAATGTATGTGTTGATATTCAGAGACACTGGTTTCCTTCGGTTTGTGCTTTGAGAGGATGTCAGTAAACAACTCATTGTAGATTGATTGGCTTGGATGCTCCTAGGTAACTGTGGCTCCCTCATCATCAGGAGTCTTAACTCAATCAAGATATCCCACAGGCATTATCAGAGGCCTGTCTCCATGTGTAAGAATCTGCACTTTCCAGTGGATACCCACGCCCAATTCAGGCTGCGCGCTTTCCCCGAACTCGGGCCCACGAGAATGGACGATTGTCCTGAGGGTTAAAAAAGAGACACACACACAAAAGAGACCTTTGCTCATTTACCAGAGTAAATGGCTACTTTATTAAACTCAAGTCGGGTATTTATACCAGTGGGCAACCAGGATCAAAAAGGCAAGGCCTCTTCCCAACAAAAGCAGGAAGGAGAATAAAGGCCCCAGTAAAGGAAAACTCCTCCCACCCAGAGGGGGCTGGGGAAACTGGCCTCTGTGGGAGTTTTTCCCCAGGCAGGTGGTTGAGGGTTCAAGGCAATGTCAGACAGGTTAGATGGGCCTTGGCGCCTGAGCTTCTTTGAGGCAGGTTGAGAAATTACCATTTTAAAGTAAAATAGATCCCTCAGGCTAATGTACCAGGCTGTAGCAGAACCAAGGACGGAACTAGCAGGAAGCTTAGCTGGTTAGCGTAAACATTATTTGCATCCAGTATATTGGTCTCAAGGATCAGGGAGGACAGGGTCCCATATCCATGGTCATTCTAGATGCTGCCAAGTTGATAACACTAAGTCTTTTTCATGAGACCTCCTTCTGGTCATAGCTTATATAATAGTGATTGGTGTTGCAATATAAAACTTTTGCCACCAAGTCTGGCAGCCTGAGTTTGATCTTTAGGACTTACATGTTGGAAAAAGAGAACTGACTCCCAGAGATTGTCTTCTGACCTCCATATACATACACATAAACAAATGTGATTAAGGATTCTTTTTTTAAAAAACTTGAGCAACTATATCTCTTTAGTCATTGACTTATTAGATGAGATATGATAATATGGTTTTTCTTCCTTTTTGTAACATTTCTAATAATATAATGTGAGATTTTGGGTTTTTTTTTGTTTGTCCTGTTTCTTGACAAGGTTTTCATGTACTCCATGCTGGCCTTGAACTTACTATGCAGCCAAGGATGACCACAAACTTCTGATCATCCTTTACCTACCCCCACCCCCAGTACTGAGATCGCAGGCATGTACCACCATGCCTAGTTTATGCACTGCTGAAGAACCCAGGGGATGCTAGCCTGAGCTGTAATCCCATGCCATATGACTTAAGGTTGTAGAATTAGATCATGCTGTTAGTTTGGAGAGACAGTCTTCCTTTCAGCGGTTTGCTTTCTGATATTCCTCATGTTTGCCGCATAGACTTCCTTCTGTCTCCTTGATTCAGTGTTTGCCCTTGTACTGTCATTCAGCTGCACTGTGTTTGAGATGTCTGGTGGAGCTGGGAACTGGCACAGTGGTCTGAGCTCTTGCTGTGCACATATTTGGACCTGTGTGTGCCCATAACCTCAGTGTGGTGGCGAGGAGACAGGTAGATCCTGGTAGTTCATTGGCCGGCCAACCTAGCCAAAATGAAGAGCTTCTGGTTCTGCGAGAAGCAATTAGGTCAGAGTGATAGAGGAAGACACCTGATGTCCTCTTCTCCCTGCCCACCCACATACACACGCATATGTATGGAGACTGGCCAGTGTTCTGTGCATCTTAGCTAAGTGGCGGTATAGATCATTTCACTGTTTAAAAAGCCAAAATGGAATCCAGGGGAACAGAGTGGCTGATTGGTACCATCAGGTCAGTGCTAGACTTTGCTGTGGACACCATTTCTTTTCTCATGACTGAGTCAGTTATGAGCATAGGTGCCGTGTGCAGTTGTACAGACTGGACTTTTGATAGCATGTGTATTGGGGTGCAATTGTGTCTGATAGCGTGTGTACTAGGGTGCGATTGTGTCTGATAGCGTGTGTACTAGGGTGTGATTGTGTCTGATAGCGTGTGTATTAGGGTGCAATTGTGTCTGATAGCATGTGTACTAGGGTGCGATTGTGTCTGATAGTGTGTGTACTAGGGTGCGATTGTGAGTAGCTTATTTCACTGCTGTATTTCTGGAGTTTTCTCTTTGAGTTCTGGAATAATATCAGAACCCAGCCATCCATGTTACAAGTTTATAGGAATGATAGCTTGTTTTTAAAAATCTGAGCCAGGGTGTCGGTGGTACATGCCTTTAATTCCCTTTAATCCCAGCACTCGGGAGGCAGAGACAGGCAGATCTTTGTGAGTCGAGGCCAGCCTGGTCTACAAGAGCTAGTTCCAGGACAGACTCCAAAGCTACAGAGAAACCCTGTTTCGAAAAAACAAAATAAAATTAAAAAAAAAAAGGAAAGAAAAAAATCTGAGAAATGTGATTGGGGATATAGGATTGGGGACTTGCCTATCATGCATGTGGCCCTAGGTTTAGTTCTCAGTACTGAAAAAAGAAAGGGAAAAAAAAAGGAAAATGAGAGAAATGGCTAGGTGTAGTGGTATAGTGTATACCTATAATACCAGCCATAGACTGGAGGATCATGAGTTCTCCCCAGCCTGGTCTTCAAAGTGAGAACCTGTCTCAAAAAACAAACAAAATCTGAGATGCTATTACATTTCTATAATTTTAGTTGTTGCTCATGGTAATTAGGAGAGAAGTTATGAATAACTTTTAACTTTGGTATGTAGAGATTATTGTAGTTTTGTAGTGATATGTTTAAAAGATATACTATGTTCTTTTTTATCAGTTTTTTATTTTTTATCATTTGATTTCATGTAGTTTATTTGTTCCACAATCTAAAATTAAAGACAAAACAAGTCAGTTAATTTTGGAGAAATAGCCAGTCCTGAGACTCTTATGACTTACAGTGAAGGGAAGACATAGGGACCTAGCAGAGGAGTCAGAAGGACTGCAAGCAGATGGGCCAGCTGGCAGCCATCAGCCACGATGCTTCTTCATTCTCTTCCCTTTACCTGGCTGCCTGGAATCGTTTATTTCTATCAGGATTCCATTGTAGGAAGAGGTCAGGCTCCATTGCAGGTGATGACACTGTCTTGTGTTTGCTGCTGCCCATTGCTGGTGATGGCCAGAGCAAGGGCTTAAGTTCCAGGGGAAAAGAATAAACTCCTGTGATGGGAGAATCTGCAGGGTGACATCGCCCCAGGGCACTAGGTGCACCGCAGCTGCAGATCCGGCTCCTTTTCTGCATCCCACCCCACGCACTGACCTGATTTTCGTAAGAGAGACAGGACCTCTGCTCCTTGTTCTCTTCCCAGGAGTTGTGTCTTTTGACACCTGTACCAGACATTGATCATACAGTGCTTGCTGCGTCTGGATTTCTTGAATATGAACCGCCAGTGCCACCACGTTTGCATAAGTCGATGCCCTGACTTGATGTAAACAAACTTACCTCTTTTCTTTTTCCTTAAGATTGCCAACACTCCTGATAGCTGAATGTGTGCTGGTTTACATGACTCCAGAGCAGTCAGCCAACCTCCTAAAGTGGGCAGCCAGCAGTTTTGAGACGGCCATGTTTATAAACTACGAGCAGGTAAGAGTTTCCCGAGGTGGATTCTGCATGGCTTCCAGTGTAGCTTTGCCTCTGTTCTTCCTTATTCGTTTCCTCTGTTGCAGCCATGGTCTGTTCTAACAGCCCTTTTCTCTTGGTTTCTTGACTTCCCACCAGCTATTAGCAGAGATTTTGGAACTTAATTCTTGGGAAAAGTTTAATTTTTTTTAATTTTATCTTTCTATTATCTACAGAGTCATAGAACTTGAGGCACAATGGCGTGAGGTAATTTTGACAGTATTAGCAGGAGGAGCAAACTCAAAGGCCGTTAGACAGGCAGGGATGTGAATGGAAGATGTTGACTGTGACTGGTGTAGAGGATGGAGACTAAGGGACCTGGGGCTGCCACTCATGCGTCGTGTGGAAGGTGTGGCCTGAGCAGGCTGGAGAGGTTGGGGACTGAGGTGGCCTAGACTGGCTACTTGTGAACCACATGGAGATGGGGACTGATGGACTCCTCAGGTCCAGCCTAGAGTTGCAAGAGCTAATTTTGTAAGGGAAGTTTGATGTACTCCTATATTGCAGCATAAAATGCCCTAATCACTGACATTAGTCTGGTAGCTGCAGGGGAAAAAAAACCTTCTTTGAAATGATCCCGCCTGAGTCTGAATCCTGTGTGATGAGGGCAAGTTGTGTCCAGTCTCTGTGCCTGTTCGTCGCTGGAAAACATCAGCACCCTGCTTCCTAGTGTGTTGTGAGGCACGCATGAGTTAGTACATGCCTTTCCCCTCCGCACTGCCTCAGTTCTCTAAGTGTGGGCTCTTAGAGTCTTCTGAGCTGTAGTTGTGTACTGCTGGGAGGGATGGGCGGATTGTATACCCATGTGCACCATGTGGAGGCCTCTGATGCTCCGTCTTGTTCCCATGAGATGGGGGTCTCTACACTGAACCTGGAGCTTGTCCTCCTATTTCCACCCTGCTCCCCCAGCACTGAATTATAGTTGCTGTAATGGTTGAGATAAAATGGCGCAGTTCCTTGACATGTGGCAGCGGGCCATGAGGGGCAGCCGGCCCCACCACTCAAGGCCTCTGTGGGTCCCATGTGGGTTGGAGGCAGCGGGTGAAAGATCTGGCGGGTCAGTGGGGCAGCTGGTCCCATGAGGAGCCACAGCAGGTGAGACTGACAGACACCATGCAGAGAGAGACAGAGGAGAGGGAGAGGTAAGGGGGTGGGGAGATGAGAAGAGGCAGTAGCCACCTCTTCCCAAGAGAGACTGGCAGAGAGAGCCCACTGAGGCTGAAGATCTGCTTACCCCAGGGAAAGGGGGAAGGGAGGGCGGGGCTTGTCTCTTAAAGGGACAGGACAAGACAGCAGCAGATTGTAACCTTTTCCTCTCTCTCTCTCTCTCTCTCTCTCTCTCTCTCTCTCTCTCTCTCATAAAAAGGCAGGAAGTTAGGCACAACAGGTTAAAGGAATTGATTAGGTAAAGTGGTGCAGTTCCACAAGGGGTGGCGGGTCCCAGGTGGGGAAGGGCCACTTCTAGGAGGAGCTGCTGCATGTGACCTGAGACTCGCGGTACTCTGTGGGTGAGAGATGGATAGACACACTGCAGAGACTGTGGGTATTGGTGGGTTATGGAAGGGAAGGGGGAGAGGGAGAGAAAGAGAGAAAGCGGAGGGCGGGGGACAGGAGAGGTAGCAGCCACCTCTTCTGAAGAGAGACAGAGCCCACTCAGGTGAAAGCCCTGATGGAAGGGAGCGTGGGTGGGGCTTGTGTCTTAAAGGGAGACAGGACAGACCATTACATTCCCATCTCTTTTTTATAATAAAAAGTTGGGGAGTTGGGCAACAGGTTAAAGGAATTGGAACGGTGGGTCCTCAAGACTGCTTTCTGCTTATGTGTGGGCGTCATCTTGGAGGGGAACCTGAGAAAGCTGGATGCTGGTCACGTCCTGAGGTATCTGGTCGCTTTACTCCTGTCCAGTGTTTGTGGTGTGGAACTGTCCGGTGTCTCTTGGACCTGTTTAAGGTATTGACAGAACAGAGGACAAAGTTAAGGAAAAAAATTTTAGGACCAGGGAATTGAGAGGGGTGTATGTTTAAGGTAGATCCTTCAATTTGGCTCCCTGGAACTCACAAGAATTCTTTGGGTTTGTGAAAATGTAAGTTTTGGATATATATATTGTATAAATGATTGCATATTTATGTCAGAATGACTGTGACAGATAATTTTTGCATAATGAAAAGTATTTTTAAGACTATGGAAGGCAGCCTGAGAGAGAATTTTGTTAACTTGTAGCTTATTGAAATTTGTTTGGTGAGGCTGTCCTCTTAAAAATGACAAAACCTCTCAGCTGTCAAACTGTGTCAGAGATCTTTGAGAAGGATAAAATTTTACTTGAGTTATTGATTAAAAAATGACAGAGAACTTACTTGGTTGGCACCCAGAGCTACTCCTCAGGGTCCTCCATGGTTGCTGAGGGTCGTATTTGCCTTTTGCTGTTTAGTGCAGGGCCTGCCAGGCTCCAGAAGACTCTGTGGGCTAAGAAATCTGTAGGAAGACAAGCCTACCTTGACCTGAGCAGCAAGGCTGTCCATTCCAGTGATTCTGTCCACTGTCTAGAGATCTTCAGTTTAGATGAAAGGCAGTTTTTCCCAGTGGTCAGCGCTTGGCAAATGAAGCAAATTGCAGATGGACATTGTTTTGTGCCCATCGGTCTTCTGTCTTCTTGGGAGGAGGTAGGGTGCTGCTGCTAGTCTCTTTTGTTATGAAAAGTATTTTAATAATTAAATATTTAAATACCATTAAATAAAAAAATCCCCAGATCTTTGAGCAGTTGAGGGCTGTTTACCGGGTATAGATGAGTTATAACTATAGTATAGAATCTGCCTGGAGAGCCGGGTCCACGCTTGACTGTACTGCCTCTCAACTTAACAGGTACGATTTATACGTGTAAAAGACATAGAAGAAAAAACTGCTTGCAATAGAAGCTTAACAGTAAAACTGACAATAATAGAGAACAGCTTAATATATTTTAAAGCAGGGCTGGATTAAATATACTGTATTTTTGTAAGAGTCTTAAAAGTACATACCATTTTAAAACATGAGACTTATTGCTTTTTTTTAGTCTCGAATGAGATATAATGGACGGTTATAACATTTAACAGTAAACATACATATATTTAAGTCACATGTATGCACACACATACACGCACATTAGCGTTAACTCAAGTCACATGTACACACACATACACGCACATTAGAGTTAACTCAAGTCACATGTATACACACACACACACACACACACACACACATATACAAACAGGAGTTGGGCAGAGTGGATGCTTTTGGTGGGTCCCACCAAAATCATGCCTCTGTGTAAAACATAGCAGAGTCAGTAATAGGAATTTAGAGACAAAAACATAAGTAAATCAGGAAACTAGGCAGGGAATACCTCAGTAAAGATGGCGGGACTTGGTCACCTGATCTGGCCCTCCCCCTGGTCTGGCCCTCAGTTAAGATGGCGGTGAGGTGAGGTCAAAATGGCAGTTGTCATGTGTTGTACGAAGAAGCCAAGTTTTTTGAGCTGTGAGAGTTTTAAATTAATAACAACAGAGACATAGAGGCCATGTAGCACATACATTTAAAACAGAATTACATCCGTGTGGCCACACCTTTCCCTCATTCTTTTATACATGAAGTAGAGAGAAAAATTGCTCAGTACCATGATCCACCCCGTCTCTGAGCCACTGTGCCACAAGTCGCAGTGAGGAGCAAAGACTGAAATTGAAAACAGCTACCTCATGGGTTTGACTAATCTTGTTGGTTTCTGCCAGACCAGCAGTAGCAGTGGCAGGGAGAGAATAGAAGAAGGAATGGGAGCAAGAGGAAAAGAGCATTTTCAGACGGGTGTTGGGTGTCGAAGGGGCTGCCCAACAAAAGGAAAATGGAGCCAGCGGGACACCAACAGAGTGTTTATAGAGCGCTTTCAGGCGGGTGGCTGATAGTTTCTAAGGGTTTGTTTCCCATAGCTGAAACAGTGAAAACCCTCGAAAACAGCAGGCACCTCACGGCCTGTAGGGAAATGTCTTCTCTCAGTAGGCGGTGTGATAATGTAGCCTGGCTGACTCTGGTCTGGGCAACTCAGATGTCAAGGGCTAGAGGCCGCCCCAGGCCATCTGCTACAGTGGGGACCACTTATGAGTGGTCCAAAAGACAAAACAAAACAAACAAATCCGAGGGACCCCTGGTCTCAAAGTGAGTGCTTCACTCAGTGTGTGCAGTGCTAGTGTGGGAGGACTACAGTGGTGGTCCAGTCACGTTTTTTAGCTATGGGAAGCAACCATAGATGAATGTCAGCGAAGGACTCAGCTGTAGTGAGGGCTCTGGTTGGGGGCTTTTCCCCAGTTTGTAAGAACACGAGAAAGTTGCCGGGAGTTCAACGGTCAAGGCTTCAAGTTCGGAGAAATGGTTAAACTGACTGAAGGGGAAAACTCATCAATTGAAGCCCCTGGTGTGTATGTGGGTCGGCATCCAGGCAGATAGCCAGTTCCTGAGCCCAGGCTTCTACGTGTCCTCAGCCAGCCCAGGGAGGAAACGCAGAGAGAGCCTGGCTGAGTCACAGAGCACCAATGTAATGGTTTAGATAAAACAGCACAGTTCCCTGAGGGGTGGCAGGCTACAAGGGGCAGCTGGTCCCACCACCTGGGGTCTCTGTGGGTCCCAGGTGGGTGGGAGGTGATGGGTGAGAAACCTGGGGGGGTTGGTGGGGCAGCTGGTCCCAAGAGGAGCCGTGGTGGGTGAGAAACGAATAGGCATTCCATGGGGAGAGAGTGTGGGTGTAGTTTATTTAGTTAGGTGGAAGGGAGGAAGGACTAGAGAGAGATAGAGACAGAGAGAGAGGAAAGGAAGGGAGAGGAGAAGAGGTAGCAGTGACCTCTTCTGAAGAGAGATGGGACAGAGAGGGGGGGGGGAGAGAGAGAGAGAGAGAGAGAGAGAGAGAGAGAGAGAGACACTCAGGCGGAAGGGAGGGAGTCAGCAGGACTTGTCTCTTAAAGGGACAGGACAGACCATTACAGTTGGCATGTGGCCAAACTGACTTTTTATGTGAGTACTGAGCATCTAAACAAGATCTTCAGGTTTGTGTAGTAAATTCTTACCCATGGAACCACCTTCCTAGTAACAGTTCTTTGCTGTTTAGAACTTAACCTTGTAGAAATTCATGAAATGCATCACAGCACTAGGCAAGTGTCGGGGACCAGCTTTGACAAAAATACCTCTTGCCAGGTAAGGGTGTGGGGATTAGAAATACAGTAAAGAATATGAGGAGATGAATGAAAATAAGAAAACGCAGAAACATATAGCATCAGGAGGGAATTTTTTAGTGAGATTGAAATTTGCCTGCGTTTAATTTCCAACTGCTTAAAAAGGTAGGAATATGACAAAAAAACTGCATTAACATACCAATTGAAAGTCACGGGCTACATTCAGAGTTAAACATTCTGTTGCTAGAACAAAGCAAGTCACCAAGTCATGTTCACACCCTAGACCAAACACTTTGTAGGCGAACCACTCCCTAGGTGGAATCCCAAGTTATTTCCATTAAGGGAACTGGAACTTAGTTGGACTCTTAGACTTTTGTTTTAAGGTAGGAACAAACTACTTTCCTATTCCTGGAGGGCCTGGCAATTAGCCACACCTACTGACAAAAGCTTTGGGAGAGCTGAACTCTCTGATTTACAACTAGGTGGGACCTTTGTGTAAAGTAGAAGCACAATAACCTTGAAGTTCCTAGAAACAAGTCTCAAACTCTCTGACCTCTGGCCTTTTTGGGCCTCCACAGGCTAGTAACAAGCAGAATGTGTGCTAGCTGCTTTTTGAGACAGTCTTACTGTGTACCCTGGCTAGCTTGGAACTTGCTGTGTAGACCTCATACTTGGGTGATAATCCTGCTTCTGCCTCCCAAGTGTTGGGATTCCAGATGTTCACCATAATAACCAGCTTTTAAAAAAATTCTTTTCAGTGGGATCTCACTGTGAAGCCCTACCTCAGCCACTTTATAATTTTCTTTTTAATTTATTGCATGTAAGAGCAGCGAGAAGATTTAGCTATATAGTGCAATTGTGGAGAGGTCCAGGTTAGATTGGGGTTCAGTACATCCTTCTCCACTCCAGCCTGGGTTCAGGTTCTTGGTTGGCTGACTGTCCTCCTTTCCACCTTACAACTGCAAACGTTCCTCAGCCTGCCTTCCTTCCAGGACCACTGGCCATGGAAACCAGCCCTCAGCTTTTCTCTGGAAGCATCCTTGGCATGGCCTGCATTCCTGTGAAGAATGGCTGCTGTAATGGTCTGCTCGGTCCCTTGTTCAGACAAGCCACGACCCAGGCAAGCTGATTTTCAGCTTCCAGCCTGAGTTCCTTCCCTTTCCTCTCTGTCTTTTCACTTCTCCCCACTTCTCTCCTTCCACCCTCTCTGTTTCTTTCTTTTTTTTCTCTCTCTCTCTCTCTGTCTGCTCTTTTCCCTTCTCCCCTTCCCTTCCATATCCCGCTGGCTAAATATCCAACTTCACTCTGCATGGGGTGCCTATCGGTCTTTGTCTCTCACCCGCTGGGGCTGCAGCTCCCTACCTGGGACTGGCTGCTCTCGGAGCCTTCAGGGACTTATGTCTTACTGCTGCCTGCTGCAGCCACTCGGGGATCTGCAGCATTTTACTTGTACCATTACAGCTGCCATGTGTCCTGTGTGTGCTGCTTTGTTCACTGGCCTCTGTACTCTGTCCAGAAGCATTTATCTAGCATACTATGGAAGGCTGATTCTGACTCAAGGCCTTTTACTCGGGAGCACGCCTGGGACTGCTGCTAGCCTGGGACTGCGCCAGATTTCAGTGCCCTGCCTCCAGCTGTCCCTCACCTGGTTCAGCTCCCACCATCTTCACTTTGTCAATAGAAATGAAACTTAAATCAACAGTCCTCAACCATCAGCAGCCTCACAATATAGATTAGTTGCTTATGTGCTTTTCCTAGTAAATGGTCTACAGTGACAAAGCCATGTTGGTGATCGGTGACGGCAGCACCCACTTCCCTTCCCACACACTGTGTGCTCAGCACGGCTGTGCAAGTTCTCCACGTCTTTGCTTACTTCACTGTCATACAAATCCCTAAGGTTGGTGTTAGTACTGCCGGATAGACTTAAGTTGCCCAGCTTCTCCAGTGTCACAGCTGATGTCAAGCCAGGATTCAAACCCAGGCAATAAAATGAAGAAGAATGTTCTCTCGGACACCTTCTGCCCTGAGGCACACGGAGAGAGGATAGCATTGCTGCTGTCTGGCTTTGTGTGTGACAGGGTACTGGTGTGTGTGCTGTGACAGTGTGCATGTCTTCTGGCACTTGGGAGGCTAAGGCAGGAGGAGCACCAGTTTAAGACTCACACAGACAAAAGACTATCTCAGAAACAAAATAAAACCAACCAATCAGAAAGGTTATATAGAGGCAAGCAGATCTCTCTCTGACCCTAAAGCTTTAGTCTTCTGCCTGGGAAATAGTGCTGCCTGCTCTGTGTTTGTTAAATGCAGTAAAGACAGGTTAGCTTGCCTCTTGAAAGCACACGGTAACATTCTGTTCACATTTCTCTATGCCTTCTTAATTTTTTAAATATTTATTTATTGTATATGTTTCTGCACGTATATGGCCATACATGTGCCATGGTGAATGTGTGTATGTATGTGTCAGAGGATAACCTGTAGGAGTTGGTTCTCTTCTGCCATGTGGTCCTGGGGATTGAAGTTAGCTAGTCAGGCTTTGCAACAAGTGGCTTTACCTGTTGAGCCCTCTCCCCAGTCCTGTACTTTGCTACTGCTTCTTCTTTTGTGGGGGGAGGGGAAGTGGTTTAGGACAGGATTTCTTTGTGTAACCCTGGCTGTCCCGGAACTACCTTTGTATACCAGGCTGTTCTCAAACTCACAGAAGATCCATTTGCTTCTACTTCTTAAGTGCTGGGATTAAAGGTGTGCGCCACTGCCTGGCTATACTTTGCTCTTAAGAGTTTATCTTAAAATCATTCTGTGCCTATTTCTATATTTTTCTTGCCTGCTTTCACAGCTATATGGTTTTTCATTTTATGAAGATAATAGAATTGATTGAAGTTAACAGATAATTCTTCCCATATTCCAGTTACACTTAACATTGCATCTTTGCACATGTGTGTGAGCCTCTCTGCCAACAATAGAGTTATTGTACTAGGTGACCATGTAAGTGGGTGTGTGCTGCCTTTATGGGGGTTACATCAGCTCAGTTTTGTGTCACATACCTCTCCTGAGCTGTTCCCGTGTGTATTACCAGATGTCAGCCTTGACTGGATATTTTGCTTTTCTTATTTAGGACACAGACCTTTAAGGTTGTGGCTAACCAGCTTTTTCCCTTCTCAGGTGAACATGGATGACCGGTTTGGGCAGGTCATGATTGAAAACCTCCGGAGGCGACAGTGTGACCTGGCAGGAGTGGAAACCTGCAAGTCACTAGAGTCACAGGTCAGAGCAGATTCTGAGCACTTGCTCATTCTCTTAGCCAGCAAAGCAGGACACTCTCTGTGGCAGCTACACCATGAAAAATCCTGTTATGCCTGTGACACAGACAGAGGGTACTCCTAGTGGTAGGAAAACTCAAGTCCTGTCTGTCCCTTTGATATAGAAAACACAAATTGACATTTCCCAACAGTTTATTGTTTTCATTATGCATACTTTTTGTATAATTCACTTTGTATTATGCAGAATTTCAGACAAACATAAAAGAAGACTAGATTAGCAAACACCCATATCCTATCAGTCAGCTTCAGTAATTGTCAGTATTTTGTTAGTGTTTTCTCACCGCCCCCCACGCTGTTATTTGTTGGTGTCATCAAAATATTTTTAGACATTTGCTAGACAATATGTTTCCAGGCTAAGTGCTTGTTAAGGGCCGTCCTACTGTTGCGCTTTCTTCCAGGGCACTATTACCACGATCACTCCCCACAACTCAACAGTAGCTCCTCTGTGTTCTGCTTCCCAGACCGACTTCAGTTTGTCTGGTAGATTGAAGGCATGTTTTATAATGTGTTTGACTTGGCATCTATCCACAGTCTACATTTTATAGGTGATTAATACAGCTTTGTATTGCTCTTAATCTGTGGTAGGCCCTTTAAAAAAGAAAAGGGCATTTGTTTGCTGGAGATAACCTCCCATACCTGCCACCATTTAAATAAACTGTGTCACATGACTACTAAGTGGCATGTTGCTCACACCTGTGATCCTATCACTTGGTAGACTGAGGCAGAAAGATCATATGTTTGAGACCAGCCTGGGCTAGCAAGCTCCCAAGCAGCCTAGACTACATGACAAAACTCTGAAGCCAGCCAGCCATCAAACCGAACAAACAACTGTTGTTTGTAGGAGAATTTTTTTTCTTTGTGTCTCTATACTCTAATGGGTTTTCCCAGGAGAATCTGCATGTGCATATAGAATAGAAAAGAGACTAGACATGGGCTTTTGAAACAGAACTACTCTCAGAGAAATCCTGTGTGCTTCACGGTCTCAGGTGTACATGCTGGGAATCATCCATGTCTCTCCACCCCCTTTCAGAAAGAACGGCTGCTATTGAACGGGTGGGAGACAGCATCTGCAGTGAACATGATGGAGCTGTACAGTGGGCTTCCACGGGCAGAGGTGAACAGGTATGTGAGTGCTAAGCCCAGGCTTCAGATGGTTGGCAGAGAGAGGCTGACCGTCTGTGTTCTTTAGTGTGAACACAAGGCTAACCTTAGCCAGGCTTATTTTGAAATAAGGTAAACATTGGTAAAAGCTCGAGAGAGTAACTCATTAGCCACTGGCTGAGATAGCGCCTTTGCCAAAGCAGATGATTTGAACTGAAATAAGTAGTTACTCCCGGAAAATTCCCAGAGCCACCTCTGCAATGGAAACTTTGTATAATCCCTGTCTTAGAGAGAAATGATGTTACCCATGACTTCTAAGGGATCAGACCTCGAATGACATCTTTAATGGATTCTTTCTTTGTTATAAAAGAAAGATACAGTCATTGTTCTAAAACCATTTCATGCTGAAGGCATGACGTCTTACGTATTTACATGGTACGGTTAGCTCTTATTAACAAGTTGGACATGTTCTCAATAATCCTATACACAGATAAATAGTTATTGATACATAGACTCTGGTTTCTAAATCAGAGGTTCATACTATACACGTGGTCACAGAAGTCATATTCCCTTTTTAAAGCTTAATGGATCATATTTATATTTGTAATATTAAAGTCTTGAACCCTTCCTATTTTGTTTACATGCTTGCATAGCAATATAACAATAACCAATATTGTGGTAATTGTAAAGAAATGTAAAGAGGGACAGTTGGGGCATTTACTCGTGAGTCATGTATCTTACTGTTTTAGCATCTCCCTTATGTCGGTACTAGGGAGCATCACTGTGCGTGCGTAGACCTGCGCTGCTGCCTGTTCGGTTCATTTCTTAGCTGTCCTGTGCTTCCTCACCCGTCCTTCCTGTCCTGTGCTTCCTCACCCGTCCTTCCCTCTCCTTTGGAGACCTTGAGGTTCAGTTTGGGGTCTGTTACAAGATCATGTGAGGAACTTTTGAACTTGCTCGTCCTTAGATCTTACTGACATTTAGAAAAATATCATTTCTTTTGTGTTGTTTGTTTTTCTTGTGTCCAAGTATCTGGGCAGTGAATGCTTTGAGAGTGTGCTCTCATAGCTTGATGATTTATGGATTCTTGTGGAAGCTTCTTTTTCTTTTTCTTTTTTTCTTTTTTGTCAGGCTAGCTTCCACTTTATAGGTGTCGAGGTGATGTTTTGAACGTCTCTGGTCTGACATATAATGCTGTTGCTCTGGCAGATTTATTCTAAGCAGCCAGAGGGGAGTCTATGATAAGCATCAGCCACAGGGAGAATAGCTCCCTTCTGGGCGGTCCTTTGTCTCATGCAGCCGTGGTCTTTTGTAGACAGCAGGCATGTAACCCTAACAGAGACCAGGTGTGACAGGAGATGGCCTTTGCTCCCTGAACAGGCCTCCTGACTCTGAATGTCACATGAGTCTACACTTTCTTGTCTGCACGAGAGATATTGGATCAAAATTGGTCCCAAATATGCCTGTTCTTAGGAGCTCATGGCTCGTGAATAACTTCACAATTTGTACTGAGTCCTGTCAGTTGTGTTTAGTTAATCTCCATTCTAGAGCCTTCATTAAGACTTTTCTTTGTCCTTTATGGAACTTTATTCAGTAATGTGCCTAGATATTTTGTTAGTCAGTGTCTGTTACTATGTCACATCTGAAATCAACTTAGAAGAGATGCATTTTGCTTCACCTGTGGAGATTCATCATGGTTAGCTGCGCCATTACTTTGGGATGTGGATTGTATGTAGCAGAGCACACTGTCCTCTCATGGCCAGGAGCTCAGAGAGACAGCTGATGCAAGCAAGGCAAGTTTGCATTTGTGTCTGTATGTCTTTGAACTGTGGTGTCTGGGATGGACCTGCAGACCAAGACACTCTTCGAGGTGTCCTACCTGTGATCCCTATGCAGCACATTTAGTTTCTTTAGCCAGCTGTACTGGCTCTTTTTCTATCTAACCTGCCTGTTCTGTTTTTTTGCTATTAGATACTTTCTGTAGCTGTGATAAAACACTCAAACCAAAAACAACTTGGGGAGGAAAGGGTTTGTTTGGCTTATACCTCCAGGTTGTAATCCGTCCTTGAAGGAAGTCAAGGCAGGAACTCCAGACATGAACTGAAGCAGAGACCATAGAGGAATGCTGCTTACTGGCTTATTCTATCCCAGGTCCACGCTCAGCTACCTTTCTTTACAGCCCAGGGCCACCTGCCTAGGGATTGTACTGCTCATGGGACTGGGTCCTCCTACTTCCGTCAGACATACCCATAGGACAGTCTGGTTCTCTCTTCTCGGATGACCCTTGATTGTGTCCAGTTGGCAATAAAAACTAACCAGACCATTTTTAAAATTGTATTTTTATTCATGTACATCTGTCTGTGTCTATGTATGCTCTATTTGCATGGGTGCTTGTGGAGGCCAGAAGAGTGCATAGGATCCCCGGAGCTATATTTACAGATAGTTGTGAGCTGCCCAACTTGGGTGCTGGGAACTGAATTCAGGTGTCCTCTGTAGTGAGTGCTGAGAACTGTACTCAGGTCCTCTGGAAGAGCGGGAAGCAGTCTTATCTGATGAGCATTTTTCCAGCTTCTGGACTGCATTCTTTTCGAATCTTTCTCCTCTGCCGCATTGACTTTTGAGTCTCACTGTGCACAGTTCTGCTGCTGCATACCATTGCCTTGCACACTTGAAGCCTCTACCACCAGATAAATTTGTTGTCCATTATTTTGCATCTCTGCCATACACAGTCTCTGACAGGGCAAGATGCAATCAGGTTGTTTGCCCCAGAGTGACGGGGTGACTTCGTATCTAGTTTCTAGTCCATTTTCATTTCCACCCTAAACTTCCCCGGCATTGCCATGTTTTCTGGGTTTTTTTTTATATTTATTTATTTATTATGTATACAATATTCTGTCTGTGTGTACGTCTGCAGGCCAGAAGAGAGCACCAGACCTCATTACAGATGGTTGTGAGCCACCATGTGGTTGCTAGGATTTGAACTCAGGACCTTTGGAAGAGCAGGCAATGCTCTTAACCACTGAGCCATCTCTCCAGCCCTGTTTTCTGGGTTTTTACCAGCATTTTGACCTTCTCTACACTTCCCATGCTCCTATGGCACCCATCTCCAAAAACCATGCAGTAATCAGGTCTGTGGCAGCAGCGAAACCTGTCTTACTCTCTGTGCTAATTTTCTGCACTAGTTAGCTTTCTGTTACTATAACAAACACTTAAGGTGACCCATGTATAAAATGAAAATATTTATTTTTCCTCAGAGTTTTAGAGTCATCCACCCAAAACAGGTGCACTCTGCTTCTTTGCACTTGTGGTGGTATACTAAGCACACATTCCTTGCTAAACACCCTGTCTGAAATGCTCCAGGGTATGTCTCGGAAGTTATCCCATGTTAACCCATATAGTCTGGCTATATGTTTTAGTTCATGCAGATGATCTCCTATAGTTCAGTTTTTGCTTGTTACCAGATTGGAACTGCAGTGTTGTAGAAATGCTCTTGACCATTTATCTTTGCATGCAGGGTAAGCTCTTAAAGAGGCAGATTGATCACAGGATTAGAGGATATTCTTTCTTTGTGTTGAAAGAGGCTAAAATGCCTTCAAGGGAGGCGTCCTGTTTTGTCATATTGCTAGCAGTTGAGTAAATGCCTTTTCTTCTGTGTTCAGCTTTCAGTCTTTGTCTGAGTGTTGAAAAACTACTGTTCTGGCTAGTTTTATGTCCACTTAACACAAGCGAAAGTCATCTAAGAGGAGGGAAGGATAGAGAAATGCCTCCATAAGATCAGGCTATAGGCTGGCCTGTAGGGCATTTTGTTAATTAGAGGTTTATGAGATGGGGCCTAGTCCATTGTGGGTGTGTACCATCTCTGAGTCCTGGATTCTATAAGCAGGCTGAGCAAGTCAGTAAGCAGCACCCTTCCATGGCCTCTGCATCAGCTCCTGCCTCCAGGTTCCTGCTCTGTTTGAGTTCCTGTTCTAACTTCCTTTGGTGCTGAACAGCAATGAGGAAGTATGAGCTGAATAAACCCTCTCCTCCCCAAGTTGCTTTTGGCCATGGTCTTTCTTCACAGCAATAGAGGTCTTAAGACAACTATCTTGTGTTTTCATTTATATTTGTTTTCTCGTAAATGAATTCGAAGACCTCTTGTTTTTCTTTTCTATTGTACTGATCTTTTCTTCTTTTAAATTATTATGAAAGTTTTTCATGCTGAAGTTCTAAAACTCTATAGAGTTGCAGGGCAAAGAAAGTTGTCCTTTGCCATTAGCATTCCAGATACCTTTCTAGTTGATTTGTCTTGACCTTTAAAGTAACCCTTCCTCCTCTTCCTCCTTTTCCTTTCTCCACTCACCCTTCCTTGTTCTCCTGCCCCCCTTTCTTCCCATTCCTTCCTTACCCTCCTTCTCCTTTCTTCAAGACTGCACATTCTAAGTGTGTACTGTTCCCCTGAGCTAAACTTTCTGAATTCCTTCTTCTTTTTGAAAATTTATTTTAATTTTATGTGTGTGAGCATTTTTTTTTTACAAACAATTCTTATGGCTTAACAACTTGTAATTTTTCTTGTAATTGATTTTATTTGTAGTGTTTGCCATGGAACAATTTAGGATGAGTCTTTATTTAAATATTTAAAGACATATTCCTAAATGTCTTTAAAGATAATAAATCTTATTTTAAATTTATCTTTTTTTTTCTTTTGATCCCTTCTCAGCTTTCCCGTGGCTGGTACATCATACTTCTTTTTTTTTTCCTATTGTTTTTATTGAGCTGTACATTTTCTCTGCTCCTCTCCCTTCCTCCCCTCCCCCTTCTACCCTCTCCCATGACCCCCACACTCCCAATTTACTCAGAAGATCTTGTCTTTTTCTCCTTCCTATAAGATCCATGTATGTCTCTCTTGGGTCCTCTTTGTTGTGTAGGTTCTTTGGGGTTGTGGACTGTAGCCTGGTTTTTCTTTGTTTTATGTCTAAAAGCCACTTATGAGTGAGTACATATGATATTTGTCTTTCTGGGTCTGGGTTACCTCACTCAATATGTTTTTTTCTAGATCCATCCATTTGCCTGAAAATTTCAAGATGTCAAAATTTCAAGTATTCCAATTTATAAATTACCACGTTTTCTTTATTCATTTCTCGGTCGAGGGGCATTTAGGGTGTTTCCAGGTTCTGACTATGTATGACAAATGATGCTTCTATGGTGATACATATGGCTCTATTTGCGTATGAGTGTTTTGCCTATGTGCCTGGTATCCCCAGAGGCCAAAAGAGGGAGCCAGATCCCCGGGAACTGGAGTTAAGTACAGTTGTGAGCCTCATGTGAGTGGGTGCTGAAAATTGAACCTGGATCCTCTGGAAGAGCAGCAAGCGCCCTTAACTTAGCTGAGCCATTTCTCCAGACCTTCCATTTCCCCCATTTTTTCTTAGCCATAGCATGTTCTGTATCCAAGTTCTTTCCATGTGGTATCATGAACATGTCATTACTATGGACTAGCATCTTCCCTCCTGACTGCGGTCTCCATCTCCCGTTCTGACTTCTGCACAGAATAGAGTCCCTCGAGTTCCTGGATGAGCTGGAGCTTCTGGAGCAGCTCATGCGGCACTACTGCCTGTGCTGGGCCACCCGCGGAGGCCAGGAGCTGGGTAAGAGAGGCCTCTGCCGCCTGGCGGGAGGCAGGACAGCGGCTCCCAAGAATGAAAGGCGCACCAGGCAGTTCAGGTTCAGAGAAGTAGAGAAACATGGATGCATGCCCACAGAGTGTCCAGAGAAGTCATCATTTGTTCTTCCAGGTTTTTATAGCACAGAATTCGGCAAACTGTCTCAACCACAAATCCTCAAACAGCTAGTCAGCCCTTGTCAGGCCTGCCGTAGGATTTCTGCATTTTGGAAGGTTGAAAACCTTGAGAGTTGAAAGTAATAATCTTAATAAAAATAACCAGCGTTTGCCCTTTCACCAGCTCCTAGCCATGTTTGCTGGATGCTAACACATGGATCGTTTGGTTTCTAAAAGACCCACTCAGCTTCCAGGGCAGTTTCCCCCTCCTCTCTCTAGGGTTGAGGCGTAGTTTCCTGACAGAGGCATGCAAGACCTCGAGGTTCAAGGAGGGACCTGAGCACCTGGCTCTCAGGTTTGGACCCAGCCTCCGCTGACTCCTGCCCCAGTTGCTCTTGCTTCCCAGGGCCTGGTTATTCCTGAGCAGAACAGCCCACCAAGACCACATTAGATTCCAGGTCCCCAGTGCCTTCCAGCTTCTCACAATATGATCCGAGTGACTGCTGGCAGCCTACAGAGTTCTTCCAACATGGTCTTGGGTGGAAATTACTTTATTGTTGTGTTTTATATTAGAATCTCCTCTGATAATAAAGGAATTGTAGTTGGAACTTGGGGAACTTGGAAAAGCAGAGCACAGAGGCTCTGCCTGTGGGCTGGTCTCAGGCAGCCTCTCGTGACGCTTCCTCCGCTGCGTTCTGGGTACTTTATTTAAAAAATATATTTATACACACTCATATATAGTTTATTTATTTACCTTCTTTGTTTGATTCTTTGAGACTTGTAAAGCAGCCTGGTCTTAAACTTGACATTCCTCCTACTTTGGCCTACCGGAGTTCCAGCTGTGCCCCAGGAACCTCATGCATGTGAAAGCAGCAAAACTATAAAGAGAGTGTGGCACTGCCCTGTTCTGCACCCTCTGCCCCTTTGCTGAACTCTGATCTTATCTCCAGTAGAGCCGACTTTACATGTTCCTATAACTGCACTTCTGAGTTTTTTCAATTTAATCATGTGACATAAGCATTTTCTCCCTTGCCACCAAACTTCTCGAAGAACATAATTGTATTAAATTCTCTCACAAGACTGTGTCTGAATGTATTTAAGCTTCTCAAGATTTGGAAATTGCAGGTTTCTAGTGGGTTTAAGTTACCTGTCGTTAAACAGTGAGTTGAACTGCTTCTGTTTTTGGTGTGCTTTGGGAACAAGGGGGTCTGAAACCCAGGCTGGCCTCCTGCTCCAGCCTCCCGAGTGCGTGTTTACAGATAGGCACCAGCACGCCCAGGCTGGGATAATAAACGTTTTAGTGTCAGAGGCTTCTTCAGTGTATCAGCACATAGTGAAGAACCAGCTCTGTGTTTGTTCAAAGGTCAGCAGTTAGCAGGTAGATTTTGGACATTTACTGCTGAGAGCCCATAAATTGTTATGAAATGCTTTCTTAGTCCATTTTAAACCACCCATAAACAAAAGCTAGCTTGACCTCTCACTTTCTTCTGAAATCTCGTTTCACACAGGAAGAATACGAGGTCCAGCGGCGAGCTGTGCTGGTGCCCGGGGCCAGCACTTGGGCATGTAGCAGTGTCGTGCCCGCCCCCACCCCTAGTTCCTGTTCTCCGCCACAGGCATCTGACTGTATCTGTTTCCTCCCCTTAGGTTTGAAGGAGATAACCTATTAATCTGTTGAAGGTTCGTGCTGAGGTCGAAGTCGAAGTCTCTAGCCGAGGGACTGCCCTGGGCCCCTGAGGGATGGGTAGTGTCATCTCTATTGTTGGCCCTGTTGCATATCCAGAACCCTTGGTTACAAAGGTGGTCACACCAGATCCTGTTCCTGTCACTTATCATTGTTTAAATAAATCTCACTTGCCATTTGTCTGTGTGTCAGACTTCGCTGGTGTCTGTTGACATTCTTTACTCTGTGGCGTGGACCAGGGTTCACATCCATGGCAACTAAAACCCTGGAGCCTGCATCTTTGGACCTTGGTTTGCCCTGTGAGTCAGAATCCATTTGGGAATTTACTCCTCCCTGTGCTCTTTATTGCAGCACCTCATGGACCCTGACCCTTGACCTGCCACAGATGCTGGAGCTCTTCTGTGCTGTTGCTGCTGTCTTGGCTGGGCTAGCCTGCTGCCTTGCCTCGTTCATTCCAGTTGCCATAGAGGTTGTGTAATTCCTCCTTACACACCCTGGCTGCTTGGAACCTGTATACATGTCGCCTTCTGTGGCAAATGGGCTTTTGGCCAATGAGATTAAGATAAGGGTCTCAAAACAAGGTTGTTAGGGGTCATCTGGGGCTCTGATGCAATCACAAGGATCCACATGAGCCAGACAAGAAGACACAGCCAGACAGTAGACATTGACTGAAGGAGATTGCGGAGCGATGGGTTTTGAAGATGGTGGAAAAGGCCAAAAGATAAGGAATATAAGTGATTTCTAGAAGCTAACAGAGACAAGAGGCTGGAGTGATGACTCAGAGGTTAAGAACACATACTGTTCTTGCAGAGGAACCAAGTCCAGTTCCCAGCACCCATACTGGGTGGCTCCCGACTACCTGTCACTCCAGCTCCGGGAATCTGAAGTCCCCATTCTCTGTGGGCACCTGCACTCACTTGCACACACCCACACATGGGTGCACACATACATACATTACTAAAACTAATAAAAATTAAGGCTTTTAAAAGGCCGGGAGTGCCCAGAAAGATGCCTCTCATCCCCATACACCCTCAAAAACTTGACAGACTGAAGTTACGGCTTTCTTCTGTCTGACCTCCAGAACCATAAGTAAATAAGTGTGTGGCATTTTTCAGGCTCTGGAGTTATGATAAGCCACGGCAACAGTAACAAGATTAATACAGTCATGCTGCAGATTAGGGCCCCACAGTTTAGGGGAAAAAAAGAACTTCAGCCTGATGCTGGAGCTGCATGAATACGCATGGCTGTGGGGAAGCTCTGACATGGTCCTCAGCTGAGGTCACAGTTCCCTGCTCCACTTGGAACCAGTATTCCCCGAACACTCAGCTTTGCTCCGCCTGTGGTGCGCCTGTCACTGGAGTGGGTGCCTTTAGACAGCCTGAAAAGAAAGTGAGTTGCCCAAGAGAAGGCTTTTCCTTTCTGGTCACCTTTCAATCTCAGGACAGGAAGGTCTTGGGTTTGGAATGGTGTGTCTTGTTTTCTTAAATATTTTTAACACAGTGTATATGGAACCCAGGGCCATAGCGAGAAACTCAGTTTAGTGGAGCAAGTCTGTGATTTAATAAGATAAGGAATGGAATAAACATAAAGGCACATCATCACTGGTAAATGTGGGCATTGTTTTTGCAGCCTGTGATAATTTGAAAGAAAATGGATCCCATAGGCTCATAGGAAAATGACACTATTAAGAGGTGGCCTTGCTGGAGTCGACGTAGTTTAGTTGAAGGAAGTGTGTCAGATGCTCAAGCCACACCCAGAGTAGCATTCTCTTCGTGCTGTCTGCAGATCCAGACGTAGAACTCCCAGGTCCTTCTCCAGCACCATGTCTGCCTGCATGCCGCCATGCTTCCCACCATGATGATAATGGACTAAACCTCTGAACTGAGAGCCAGCCCCAATGAAATGTTTTGCTATAATTATGGTGTCTCTTCACAGCAGTAAAACCCAAACTAAGACATAGCTTAGCTTTTTCATTTTTAATGTTTTAAGTACTTAGTTTTTGAGACCAAGTTCTCACTATATATATGTGTGTGTGTGTGTGTATACACACACGTTGGAGTTAAAGTTGTGCACCATCGTGCAAGACTTTTTCAGTTTTTAAAACTTTTACTATAAATTTTAATGATATAAAATATTAAAGACAAACATTAAGAAATAAAATATGACTTAATTCAGTTTTTTTGTTTGTTGGTTTGTTTTTTTAAATTTTTATTTATTTTTTATTTTTTTGGTTTTTGGGATAGGTTTCTCTGTAGCTTTGGAGCCTGTTCTGGAACTGGCTCTTGTAGACCAGGCTGACCTCAAACTCACATAGATCCACCTGTCTCTGCCTCCCGGGTGCTGGTATTCAAAAGGTATATGCCACCATTGCCTGGCTTCAATTCAGTTTTTTAAATACATCCAGGGGGCAAAGGGGTTTCCACCAACCTGGTTGGCTGCTGTTCTGTCTTCTGAGAACCATCCTCCAGTTGAATAGATGTGGACAGTGGAATGTGACGATTGTCCACAGATGTGCTATTTGCTAACTCACAGACCTCTGCAGTCATTCCAGGAGCCTGTCTTACGTATCAGGTTCCCAAATGTAACATAAAGTGTGACATTCTGCGCTTCTCATAAAGGTCTTTCTTCCAGTATGGCCAGAGGCAAATGGACATGGCATCTGTGTCCATTTAACTCTCAGTGTAGCTGTGCCTCAGGCTCTACATCACCAGCATAAAAAAAGCCTTTTTTTTTTCTTTTCTTGAGGCAACATCCAGCTAATAGCACTGATACCAAAAGAAATGCGGCAAATCTATAAGAATGGAGACTCTGTAGACGACTAAACCTGCAAGCTTAGGAGAAATGGCTACTCAGCTCCATTTAGGGGCAGTGCCATGCACTCCATGAAGTAGGACTTTCAAACTCTTCAGATGTCTTTGAAATAAGGTCTCATGTCCCAGCTGGTTTCAGACTTACTACTGTAATGCAGGGTTTGGCCTACCAGTTGCCAGGATTAGGGGTTTGAACCTCCTTATTTTCTGACTCCTTTTGAAAAGCAAGGTACAAATGACCAGGTATTAGCAACAAAACTGAATGAAAATCAATTTTACATTTGTTGAAGCATGTATTTCATAGTTTTATATTTTAAACTTTGACTAATAAGGCTGAATCTGAACAGTATAATTTTCAGCCTTGAATATGGTGACTCTTCAACCTCAGTTGCAGAAGCACAATGACAAAAGGAACATTGTCTTGGGAAACGTCACAATAAGATGCATATTGTCCTGCTGTGGCAAATGTAGCTGCCCTGCCAAGTGCCAAGTGCAAGAGAAAGTATAACTAGGGTACCGAGACTAGGAGATGAAACACTGCTAGGACCGGGCAAATATGGCACCTAAGATTTGTTTATCGTATATTCAGACATGGATTCTGTGAAGGAACAATCTAAAGCCAAGAGGTAGCTGTTGCAGCATTCAGTTCATCTTGAAGAGTCCAACAATCATTCAGGAAACAACTGTTCTGCTTTGAAAAGACTTTCATTTTTAAAGACCATGGTTTTAGGATTGTGTGAGTGTGTGTGGAGGTTAGAAGACAAACTTTGGAAGTTGGTTCTTTCCAGAGGGTACCAGGGATCAGGTGAGTCATCAGGTTTGGCATGGCAAGAGCTGCATCCTCCAGGTCATATCGCCAACTTGCCATCTCTTCACATGTGCGTTTGTGCACTTCAGGAGTAGACACTATGCTCTCCCCCCTCACTGTAGGTTGGCATCAGTCAGTGATGGAATGGGTAGGTCTTGTCTCCAGCCTTGGTCCTATCTCCCACCTAGATAGGACCTAGCTAAAAGTCAGGAGCCTAACATGTTCGTTTTATTTCTTCTTTGCCAGTACTCCTTAAATCATTGCACAAAATAGATACAAATGGAACATTGCCTAGTTCTTTCCATGAGGCTAAAGTTATTCTGATGCCTAAACCACATAAAGACTCAATGAAGAAAATTACAGACCAATTTCCCTTATAAACATATATGCAAAAATTCTCAATAAAGTACTTGTAAACTGCATCTAAGAACACATCAAAAAGATCATTCACCATAACCAAGTAGACCTCATCCCAGAGGTGCCAGGATGGCTCAACATATGTAAATCAGTAAATGTAATTCACCACATAAAAATACTGAAAGACAAAAACCACATGATCATCTCGTGGAATGCAGAAAAGGCCCTTGACAAAATCCAACAGACCTTCATGATAAAAGTCCTGGGAAGATTAGGGATACAGGGACACACCACAAAATAAAAGAAGCAATTTACAGCAAGCCCATGCCCAACATCACCCTAGATAGAAACCTAAAGCATTTCCACTGAAATCAAGAACAAGACAAAGTTGTCCACTCTCTCCATACCTATTTATATGGCTATTCTTGGTTGTCAATTTGACTACATCTGGAATTAACTAAAGCCCGAAATGGTACACATCTGTGAGAGATTTTTGCTTAAAGAGGGAAATTTGCTTAATTTCAATTCCATCCTTTGAGATGGGAAGATGCACCTTTAATCCAGACCTTTTGAGGTAGAAGACCTGCCTTTAATCTGGGTCATGACTTCTGCTAGAAGCCTATACAAGAATATGGAAAAAAAAGCTTTTTCTCCTTGCCTGCTTGCTCTTGCCCTTACTAGCAAGTTCATTCCTTCACTGGCGTTTGAGCCTATTTCTTTGGGATTCCAGTGTATACTGAAGACAAACTGAGACATCCAGCCTGGTAGACTGAACAACTACTGGATTTTTAGAACTTCCATTCACAGGCAGACGGACAGCCATATAATCAATCTTTCTTTCTTTCTTTCTTTCTTTCTTTCTTTCTTTCTTTCTTTCTTTCTTTCTTTCTTTCTACCTACCTACCTATCTGTCTATCTGTCTACCTCTCTACCTGTCTGTCTATCTGTCTATCTATCTATTCTATCATCTCCGGTACTCTTGAGATCTCTGACTAATACAGTGTAATGTCTGTACTACTACGTGTACTATGGTCCTGTAGCGCCTGTACTACGTGTACTATGATACTATGCCTGCACCTGCACTATGGGATGGTTCTTGAGTTGGACAAGGGCCTAGAGATTGAAGTACACACACACAGACAGAGACACGGGTCATCCTTGAAACAAGAATACCAAGTATGCCAACTTTATTGTGTTCCAAGGCA